TGACAGAACGTTTGACAGCACCCCCAGCCTCTGCCCACTAGATGCCAGTAGCATCCCTTTCCCCGACTGTAACTACCAAAAATGTCTCCAGGCATTGCCAGATGTCCTCCATTGAGGACCACTGGTCATAGAAAGGCAGACTACAGCCTCCAGGTCCCTATGCTGGAATCTAATCTCCAGTCCCTATGCTCACCGCCTCCCCCATCCCTCAGTTCCTCCCGTGCCTCACATTGGCTGCTCAGAAAAGGGAACCCAGGGTTATCAACTAAAGACCCAGGCAAATATTGAAATATTGATTCTAGGCCCATTAGCCATGAACACAGCTACACACCAGGCCGACAGTCAGGGAGCCACTGCCTATTCTAACATGACCCTGGGTCCCATGTGCTTACTCTGAAACCCACGTGAGAGCCCCACAAGAGGCCCAGGCCTTGAGGTGGATAATATGGTGCTGGAGTTCTTCTTTCACCAGCAGCTAGAAGCTCTACAAAGAGTCATGATGTCTCCATAGGACACTCCTGTCCCAGAGAGAATCTGAGCAGAGCAAGACCAAAGATTCTCTGTCTAGTCATCACAAAGGCTAATGTTTATTTAGCATGTCTATACCAGGCTTCATTCTGAAGTTTTCATGCCTTGTCTTGTTTTGTAGAATCACTCTAAGGTGCAGGATCTATTAATAACCCCCATTTTATAAATGAGGAAACCGAGGCACGCCTCACCTGGGCCACAAGCACTGCAAACCACCCTAACTACCTCTGTTTGATGAGATAACCTGAAGAATTCACATTCATTGAGCACCCAGTGTGTGGCAACGAGTTTTAGGTAGGGCCAGGATCTGACTGAGACTGGACCAGGCCCATGTGGACTCTCAGCCTCCCAGCAAAGGGTGCCCTGCCTATCCATGGCCCACCAGGCACTGCTCTGCCCAAGCGCCAGTATACATCTGAACCATCTCCTTGTCCTAAGCAAACTGGCATTTCCAGTTGATCACAGCAGGATACAGGCACTGAGACCTGAGAGATGTGTGTATTTGTTTCACCTTTACAAGCTTAAAATTCAAGGTTCCAGGGCACAAGAAGTGAAACCAATCAGCAGATTTTTAAAACACAGGAAACCAGAAAACAGGACTGTACATTTTAAAGAGTGAGTTTGGCTTCACATGTTCTCCCTGCTCTGATGAGAGCCATCCAGAGCAGAGGAGACAGGTAGCACATCCCCATCACCTAGCTCCAAGAATAAAGAAATACTTTTCAGACCAGTGGACCAATTTGTTTGTAAAAGCATGAATCTTGGAGCCAGTCAACCTAGGAGTCGAATCTCAGCCTAACCGCCTACTAGCTATAAGACCGCTGGGGTTCCGTTTCCCTGTGGGTAGCATTCCCTTGTAGTAGTATATAACTCACAAGGTTGTCCTGAAGATTATCCAACATAATGCATGGGACACTTAGGGGCTTGGCATAGTGAGTGACCAATAAACATTTTATCCTTTTGTTATCATGACCATTATCATTACCATCATCATCGTTCTACTTGCTCAGAACAAAACTTCAGAATCATCCTTGATTGCCCTCTTTCACCACTCTTTCAATAAATCAATATCCAATCTATCAACAAATCCAGTCAACTCCTCCAAAATCTCTCTACAGTCGGACCACACCTCACCCACTCCATTACTACTGCCGTGGCCCAAATCATCACCGTCTTCTGCCTGGATTATTGTGGTAGTCTCCAACTGGTTTACCTGCATCCACTCTTTTTCCTCTTTGGCCTAATCTCCATATAACATTCCGAGAAATCCAGTTAAAAAGTAAATCATGTCACATCTACTTCTGCTCCAAACTCTCTTGTACCACTCCACATTCCCCAAAGGAAAGATCAGATTATATTCAATGGCCTACAAGACCCTACCCACTTCCCCCAAGGATCCCGGCTCACTCTGCTCCAAACACACCGAACTTCCTGTCATTCTTCAAACACATCACACAAGCCCCACCTCAGGGCCTTTGCACTTACTGCTTCTCCACCAAGAATATGCTCCCTCCAGACATTCATATGGCATACTCCCTCATCTCCCTCTGTCTTTATTAAAGTGTTGCTTCTCAGTGAGGCCTGTTTTAGCTTCCTACTTAAGCTTGCAATTTCCCTAACACTCCCGACCTCCACCTCCTTCTCTTTTCACTAGTCATCTAACACAGCATATATTTAACTTTTTATTTTCTGCCTCCTTCAATGACAGCAAAGATTTTTATCTGTTCACTGTTATATCTCCAGTCCCTAGAACAGTGCCTGGCTCTTGTCATATTCTTAAAAAGGTTTGTTGGATAAATGAGTGAGTAAAATGACTGAATGAATCTCCATTACTATTATTGTGAGGTCCTGTCCATCTAGTTCTCAGATTTCTGCATTCCAGTTGCCACAATCTTTTTCTGTCACTTTCTTTTTTATTTTATTTTATTTTATTGCCTGATCCCGCGTGTTTGAGACCAGCCCAGGCAACTTGGCAACATATGGGATCAGGCAATCCACTCACCTCGGCCTCCCAAAGTGCTGGGATTACAGGCTGAGCCACCGAGTCAGGCCTTTCTGTCACTCTCATTCCAGACCCTCAGGGCAGCAGGTTGTGTGTGAAGGCACCAAAATCTCCACCATTTGGACAATCGCTCCAAGTGCTTCTCCCACCCTGAGTTTCTACCCTTAGAAACTCAGATTTGCCTGTAATCTCAGCATTTGGGGAGGTGGAGGCGAGAGGATTGGCTGAGTCCATGGGTTTGAGACCAGCCTGGGCAACATGGTGAGACCCCCCCCATCGCTACAATAAATCAAAAAACTAGCTAGGTGTGGTGGTGAGCACCTGTAGTTCCAGTTACTTGGAAGGCTGAGGCGGAAGGATCGCCTGAGCCCAGCAGGTTGAGGCTGTGGTGGCAATGAGCGTTCCACTGCACTCCAGCCTGAGCGACAGAGTGATACTTTGACTCAAAAAAAACCCTTCAGCCGGGCTCGGTGGCTCAGCCTGTAATCCTGCGCCTTTGGGAGGCTGAGGTGAGTGGATTGCCTGATCCCGTGGGTTCGAGACCCTCCTGGGCAGCAAGACTTCATCTCTACAAAAAAAAAATCAGCCAGGCATGGTAGTGCGTGCCTGTAATACCGGCTACTTGGAAGGCTGAGGCGGAAGGATCGCGGAGCCAGCAGGTCGAGGCTGCGGTGGCCAGGAGCGGCCACTGCACTCCAGTCTGGGCGACAGAGTGAGACTCCAACTCAAAAAAAAAAAAACACCTTCAGATTTGAATGCTGCCGTCAGCAGCCTTGAGCCCAGCATGGCTGCATTCACAAAGAAGCAAGGGAGAAGCCCATGGACATGGACCAGAGCGGCAGGCGATAGGCTAGTGCCTGCTGGCCATGATGAATGGGGGGTATCCAAGGCAATGATGGTGATAAAGCAGGTGGCAGAGGGGCCATCGATCTCAGAGGGAGGCGCGAAGTCCCCGCTTCCCGATCATCGATTGGGAGCTTAATGAAAGCCATCATTCATTCTCGGTCCCGTTGCAGGAGCAGGTGGGCTGACCGGCAATGGACCCGCGCCAGCTGTCCCGGGGCCTGGCTTTCTGGGCTGCATTTTACAAAAGACCTCTCTGTTGGACTTGGAACTCGCCCTCCGCAGTGGAGGTGACCTGCACTTTCTCCAAGTGCTCCAGATGGAGTGGGGGTTGGTGGTGGTGAAAACCATAAAGGGTTCTTTCTGACTTGAAAGGGAATCGATGACCCTTGCCCTGGCTCTGCCCACCCGCTTCAGGTGCAGGGCACTGAGGGACCTGCAGTCTCACAATGTTATCAGGAAGAAGAAAGGCGAACTTGGGCGCCTTTGGGTCCCCTCCCTTGTAGCCAGAAAGGCCTCTTCCACTGCCAAGGTCACGTGCCCCTTCCTGAGGCTGCTTCCAGAAGGGCGCTCCCCCACCCCCAGCCCATAGTCCAGCAATTTGTGGGGCCTGAAACTCAGAGCACCAGATCCCTTAATGAAGAGTGTGAGGTCTCTTCAGTGGGGCTTTCTCCCCAGGGGGTGGGCTCAGAGGGGCTGCGGGAGTATCATAACCTCCCGGTCCACACCCTTCCCATACCTGGCCTTCTTTACCTGAGAGACTCCCCTGCTGAATTATATGCAGCTACTGGGCCTCTGCAGGGGCCCAGTTTGGGCCGGTTAGCTCCAGGATATTCCACAAGATGGCGCCCGTGAGTTAGTTTTTCCTCTCTCTCCCTCCCCTCCCCTCCCCTTCTCTTCCGCTCCCCTCCTCTCTCTTTTCTTCTCTCCTCTCCCTCCTTCCCCCTCAAAATTTCAGAAATTTTACAATAGTAGGAGTAATAACAAGAATCATCACCCACTTATCACGCACTAGGCATTATGCTAAAGGTCTGACATGCTTATTGAAGGCAGTAGAACAGGAAATCTGCAGCCAGGTTGAATGGGCTCTTACCCTGACTTTGCCTTTCTCAAGTATTTCCCCTAGCAGCTAGGCACAAGAAATATGGCCTTGGGCAAGTAGGTCATTTTGTTGTGCCTCAGTTTCCTCATCTATGAAACTGAGATAACATAATCACAAGAATATCTCATGGGGTTATTGGGAGGATTAAATAACTTAATACCCTTAAAGGTCTTAGAAGATAACAAGCACTATAGGACTGATCATGGCATAAATCTCACTGGTCTCTGACAACAACATGAAATCACCGCTATTATTTTCCCCACTTTATGCAAGAAAAAAGTGGAGAGATTATGTCGCCCAAGGTTGTACCATTTCCCATGTTATTGAGTTAAAAGAACCTTGGTGTACTATTGTCCAGTTTCATGAACTGTTGTGTCTCACATCTCACCACTTTGTGGAAATTTATCTTTTAGCAGATGAGCATAAGAAAAGCCCAGGAGCAAACCAGACCAAACAAAGAATCTATCTTGGGAACAAGGGGCAGGGGCAGAGTCTCCCACAAGTTCTGTCTTCATACTCTTTCAGACAACCCATCATCAAAGAAATCCAGAAACCTGGCGGAGGAGCTGGGAAAAGCTGTGGAGATGGTGGGCAAAGGCAAGAACGGGCTCGGCTTTGGCAAAGTGGACATCACGGTAGAGAAGGAGCTTCGGCAGGAGTTTGGCATTACGAAAGCCCCGGAGCTGAAGCTATTTTTTGAGGGCAACAGATTGGAGCCCATCAGCTGCGAAGGTAATGGTGCTTGTATGTCAAGTTTATTTCATGTTCATGTAAAGGCCACCTGGCAGTCAGAGGGAGAGGTGGGAGGCTTTGCTCCACACAGCCTCTCATGGACCCAGGTTCCTCCCAGCTTGTGGCTCTGTCCTTTCCTGGGGCCTTGGAACCACTTGTTCTTCCTTCTGTATCTAGCCAGCAGGTACGTAAGAAGGTAAGGAGGCAGATCACCATGGATGGTGGTGAGGAGGCAGATCGCCATGGAGGTCTGCCTGGAGGTGGGCCCGGGCCTGGAGGTGGGAAACATCACTTCTATTCTTATTCCGTTGACTGGAATTCTATTACATGGCCCCACCCAACTGCAAGAAAGGCTCATGGGTTTGGAGAACACACAGCTGCCTCTACTGCACTTCAGCTTGCATCTCAGCTGATGGGCCCTAGAAGCACCAAGAGGTGGGAGGGTGGAGTGCATGGCTTATGTGAGACCAGCGATCAGAGAGTAAGTTTCTAATCCACTTTCCACCCCCAATCTTCTAACTTAGAATGATTTTTGAAAGACCAGGGAAGCACTAGTTAGCCAAAAGGGAAGCTAGGAGATGATGGAACAAGGCAGGTCTGGGATGCAGTGTCTACCAAATACTTTAACGTTAGTCTACCATTAGTTGTTGTATTCATTTATTAACTCATCCATTCCTCTATTCAACACCATGTATTAACAATCTACCATGGGCCAAGCGCTATCTTGATGTTTGGAGAGTTATGTGCCCTCAGTGTGCTATACGGTAGGTCTTGATGTTGAAAATGCGCACATGGATGCAGAATGGAAGGAGGGAAGGAGAGAGAGAGGGAGGGAGGGATGTAACAAAATTGATGAACACAAGTGCCCAGCACGGCCCCGACTATGCTAGTAGGATGTTCCCATTATATATGTGCTGAATGATTGAGTCTCAGGAAACTGAGGTTGTCTTTCACAGGATCTGGCATATAGCCAGTTTCCAATAAGCCCGTTTGAGTGTCACAAAAACAACTATTACAGGATGCATTGCAGTTCTCATAATGGACACAAGAGGGCAAGAGAGAGACAGGACAGATGTAGGGGAAGGTGCAGAGTTGTTATCTAAGAGAAGGGCATTACTGCTCTTAGCAGGCTTGTGGGAGGTGTGATGCGGGGCGGGGGGGAGCAGGAGCAGTGAGCGAAGTAACAGAGACTGCTGCTTTCTATGGACACTGGCTGATGACCCTCAACAATGGGGACCCACTGATACCAAGCTAGGAGCCTGCTGGGATGTGTTGGCTTGGGGGGGGGGATGCTGTGAAGAAGTTAGAAGCCCCAGGCTACTTCATCAAAGCCCATTATCTACTCCTGGAGGGGCTTAGGTGCTGGGACGTCCTTCCTTCCTGAAGGACAAATGAGACCTGACTCCACTTAGGAGACAAGACAACAATGTGGCAACTTCTAGACATGGTGAGGATGGCAGAGAAGGTCCCCAAGGCCTTTGACCGCTGAGCCTCATTTGTTGGGGGGAGTCAATGCCTAAGATCTCCTCTGCCTTGCAGGACGCCTCATCACCTCCTCTGGGAAGTCTCCCCTGACTCCCATAATGAGGTGCCTGTTCCAATCCTGTGGTCCCAGAGCACCTATGTTTCCCTGTCAAGTCCCTCACCTCACAGAATCATATCTGCTACTTGTTGCCTGCTCTTCTGAGAGCATCACTAGGGCAAGGGCTGATCTCACCTCTGTTCTGGGTCTTCTGCAAGGCTACCAGAATTGGCAGCACACCCCTTTGGATCCAAATTCTCATTACATGCCTGAGAAACAACCACTTCCTCTTGTCAAAGCTCAGTTTTCTCATCTGTAAAATGGGGATGGTGAAAATAGCTATCTCCTAGGGTCACTGGGAAAATGAAACAACGTTTGCAAGGCACAGGGCCTGGCGTACACCTGCAGCATATACTGTGTTCCAGGCACTGTCCTAGGTTCCTCTCTTAGGTCATAACAACCCAGTGTTATAGATGGAGAAACTGAGGCACAGAACAGTAGAATAACTTCCTCCATGTTCTCCAGCTAGTAGCAGTGGAGTCAGCAAAGTTTTCTACCTAAGCATTTTAGGCCTCATGGGCCAATCTCTGTCACAACTGCTCACCTCTGCTAATATAGTATAAAAGCAGTCCTATGCCAATAAATGGGCATGGCTATGTTCCAATAAAGCTTTATTTATGAATTCAAATAGCAGGCCAGATTTGACCCATGGGCTGTAGTTAGGTGAACTCTGTTCTACATTGGCTGTACTCTAAGTAAATGGCCGGCAGGTGTGTTTATTATTAAACACAATGCCTGAAACAATTAGGTTTCTAGTAAGTCATTTCTGAGTTTGAATGGGATGGAATTGTGAAGGCCCATGGAAGGCAGGCATAGGGCAAGGAGCCTGCCCGTATTTCTGCTGGGTTTGCTGTCTCCTGCCCCTTCCTCAGTATTACTACAAGGAAAGCCAGCATGGAGTTGGGGCTGGGGCTCAGGATGCCTGGGTTTTAGATTTTGGCTATGGGAACTTGAAATTTGAACAAGTTTTTTAGACCTGGGCTTCCAACTTCTTATTTTCTAACCATGATGAATTGTGCCAGTTCCACCTACTTGGCAGGGCTCCTCTGAGCTAAGAAAGGAGACAGTACTTTACATATCTTCTGCAATGTGATTTTTACAGAGACCTCTTAGGAGGCAGGTGGGATTTAGTCCTTGCCAGGTCAAAGCCCCAGTTCCATTCTCCTTTAATCTCCAGGATTGATGGTGGGAGATCTGACCTCCCCCCTGGAGGGAGGGAGACTCGGTTGCCTCTAGGGCCTCTGTTAATGATGCATTCACAACTTGCCTGGAAATATGCAGCCAGGCACCAGCCCTAGTCAATCATTTACACAGCGTTCACACCTCAGTTGTCACCGTGTCCCCTGGCTCAGAGCCAAGTGCCAGAGGAGACGTCCTGCCGACCAAGGACAGAGCCTGATCTGCAGGCTCTCAGGAATAAACAGTTTGCCAAGTTCATGGATACCTCAGTCCCAAGGAGGCCCACATCCCCAAGAAGATGGCCCAGGATCAAGTTCCGCCTTCCCTGGTGATCCATTCACTCCATTCATTCATCTTAGAACGATTTCTTAAGCACCCTATATGTGGCAGGCATTATAAGAGCTACTGAGAACTCACACTGAGCAAACCAGCAAAAAATCATCATTGTAATTTCAGAAAGTGATGGACTCAGTGAGGAAAATAGAGCAGGACATAAGAGAGAGAATGGCAGGGGTGGAAGAGAAGACCAAGTTGAGAACTGAAAAAGCAGAAGGCACTATCGTCGAAGAGCCAGAAAAGAATAGCCCAGGTGAAGGGACTGGTGGATGCCAAAGCCAGGTATTCTGGAAGATAATTGTATGGTTGGAGTGTTACAGGGGAAAGGTTGGCAAAAAGTGACATCAGAGTGATGTTTCTGATGACCTGAAACTTAACCTTGTTCAGAGCGGCTTTATTCACACTTCTGGATAGTTTTAAACCAAATTCTTTCAGGACACTTACAATATACTCTTGCTAGACAAATGCTTGTAGAAAAAACAGTTTGTTTCCATATGTACCTGGTTTTATAATTGTTGTTGTTGTTTTTGTTTGTTTGTTTGAACTTAAAGATGGCTGGAACACAGTGGAAACAGCAACTTTGCTTCAGAGCTGAAATCTCAGAGAAGGGGCCGATAGCAAGGGTGGAGTATTAAGGACTGAGAGTGTCGTGATGCCTCCGTCTTCTCTCTGCCTCTTGAAGTCCCGTATCTGGCTCATATGAACTTTTATAGACCCAAGTCATCACGGCTTTTAAAATGGCCTTAACTGTGTCTACTAAAGTTGAACATGGCATCTGCTATGACTGAAAAGTCTCCTCCAGAAGTACATACAATGTGCCCCAGACACAGGCACAAGAATTCATTCCTAGAAGCCCCAAACGCACATCAACAGAGAATGGATAAATATATTGTAAACTAGTCACACAATCGAATTCCACACAGCAGTGGGCATGATTCTTCAAGTACGTAAACAACATGGATGAATCTTACAAACGTAACAAAACCAGACCTGAGAGCACACACCGTGCCATTCCATTTGTGTGAAGTTCAGGAGCAGGCAGGCCAATGTGTGCTGTTAAAAGTTAGGATAAGTGATTACCCCTGTGTTGGTGTGGGGTAGAGACTGGGAAGGGGACACAGCAGGGTCTTCTGGGGAGTTGGCAATGTTTTATTTCTTGATCTGGGTGGTAGTTACACAGGTGTGTTCATTTTGTGAAAATTCATCAAGACTTACATTACAATTTGTGCACCTTTCTGCATGTAAATATACTTCATCATAAGTTTTTGAAAAGGCCTAATGTTCTCAGGAAACATATGTAAAGACACTAAAGGCAGAGCCCTTTGCAGTTGATTTAGTAACTCAGGTGCATTCATCAAGCCCCATGTAGTAATTGGTCCTGCGACAAGGCCTTTGTATAGGCTGTTTGCCCTACCGGGAAGGCTTTAACTCTCCTTAATGCCTCCTGGTTCACTTCTCTGCATCCTTCTGTTTTCAGCTCATACATGATTTCCTTCAGAAAGCCCTTCTTCACTTCATAGTCTAGGTCAGGTATCTTAGCTGCAGGATCATAGAACTTTGATTTCAAACACTTCCTTTGGGTGTGATTATACACTTATTTGTTCAGCTATTTAATTATTGTCTTCCTCAACAGAATGAGAGCTGTAAAACAGTGGTAATATGCTTGTTTCTGCTCACCATTATGTCCCCAGCAAAAAGTACAACACTTGGTAACATCATAGGCATTCCATATATGTTTGTCAAATGAATGAGTGAATGAAGGAATAAGAGGATGAGTTTATGAATCTAGTCCAAAGTTACTCACAACAAATAATGCTCTATCTCATAAATTCACTTAAAATGTTCCATCCTATTCTATATCAGACATTGATATAAAATAATACCTTATATTCCTTGTCATCACGTGAGATTGACGATCCTAAGAAAGACAGGTCCATCTGTTTATGGCTTGGTAGACTTTCTGACTCACCATTAAGTCTTCCCAGATATGATGTGTGTGTCCTAATTTTAGAAGCTAAGGCTTTAGTGTGCTTGGCACCAGTCATAGGATAGCTGAGAAATGGAAGTCAGGAGTCTATGACCTTATGAGACCTTTGGGTCTCAGCCAAGGAATTGGAGGCACAGAGAAATAATAAGATTTTCCCAAGGTTACAGAGCTAGGTGGTCTTTAATTTATATTTTAAAAAATAAATATATCTTCCTGTCACCTTGGGGGGTGCATAAGAAAAGAAGGCTGGAAATGCTTTCTCCTAGGTTTAATGTCTCAGGTATGCTAGTTGGGTGGCTGCTGTTAAGTTGAACCTTGATTTCTTCACCTGCAAAATGGGGAGAGCAAAAGTATCTATCTCATAGTGTCAACGTGAAGATTTAATACACAGGAAACACTCAGCACAGTGTCTAGCTCTTGGTAAGTGTTTAATAGCAGTCAGCTGCTTTTGTTAACGTTTATGCCTTAGAGCTTAGGGGGAAAGGGAAGCACTGACCTTGGCCTTCAAGGGCTAGAAGCTCAAGACAAGATGCTTCTCATTAAACGTGAAAAAGACAGGCCTTTCTCCAGTTCAAAAGCAAACTTCTCCAGGATCCATCTGACTGTATCTCTCTCCAGGAGTGGTTGAATCTGCTGCGTTGGTCGTTTGGTTGAGAAGACAAATAAGCCAGAAAGCGTTTTTGTTCAACAGTAGCCAAGAGGTGGCAGAGTTTGTGACAGCCAGGCCCTTGGTCATCATGGGCTTTTTCCAGGTACTGGGGTCGAGGTGGGAGGAGGCTTTTTGAATGGTGAGAAGTGCTGTGTCTGTGTGTCTGGGAGGGGTTGGGCTGAGGAGACTAGACTCTTCCATGTGGGCTCCATGCTCGATTTTTCTCCATCCAATGAGCTGATTTTCTGAAGTGGTAGGAAGAGCTAGCTGGAGAGGTGGACAGAAATGGAGAGAAAAGAAGAGATTGACATATGTATTTAATGAGTTTTAGCTTTGTAACTGATCTTTCTGGGGCCCATTTAGATCATCACGGAATAAAAGACTATCTTATTTTCTGGTTGGAGAACCATGTTGCTGTATGATTCTGATAGCCACCAGCCATGCCTGTGTCAGGCCATTCTCACTCCTTAACCTCGTTCCAAGCACACCCATATATTAAAACTAGTAACACATTATATACCCACACCCCTCTGAAAATACATCAACCCTCATCATAGGAGCAACGGGGGAAGATTTTTGGAGAAGGATATAACTTAGATCTGATAATGAAATGGCTCATGATAGCTTTTTATTGATTTTACTTTTATATTTATATTTATAAATAATTTATAAATAATTTACAAACTGTTTTTGCTTTGGGAGAATGAGACTCTCGTGTGTCTTAACTCACTTACACAAACTGATGACTCCTCTTCTTCTCCCAGTAGAAGTCAGAACTTGGGCATTAAAGTTATGCATGGGGAGAATATGTGCCTCTTCTCTCTCCTATCCTGGCCACTTCTTTGAGAGGTGTTTTTTTCGGGGGGGGAGCTTAATTTTCTTTCAAGCTAAAGAATGAAGGCTGAAATTATAGCCATACCTTGTTACTAAGCTCATGTTTGGTAGTATATGTGGTCAAATCAATTGCCCCTTCTGAAAGCAATTAAGAAATAAATGTTTAAAAGTCTCAGTCCCTGGGTTAGAACAGCCTTTACTCCAATAATTGGAAAAGGTCACATTTATCAATTATTTCCACCGATCTCTGAGGATTTGCCTATTTTGGCTTTAGTCACAGCCACAGAAGCACTTCTGGTATAAAACAGCCATGAAAGAGGAATTAGGTGACCCAGCAAAACCCCAGAACTTGGAAAAAGGAAGAGACAAATTGACCATTATCTCCATCTTTCCCTTAAATAAGCCAGACATCTTGCTTTCTACCAGAGCCTTAGCAAATATCCTTTCTCAAACAGGATTTAGAGGAAGAAGTAGCAGAGCTGTTCTACGATGTTATCAAAGACTTCCCAGAGTTAACGTTCGGAGTGATAGCAATTGTTAATACAGCTGGGCGTTTCCACGTCACTCTGGACAGTGTCCTGGTGTTCAAAAAGGTAGGACTTTGATTCCACTGCGAGTGAGGGAGTCACTAGTTCAAAGTACAAATTCTGGTTCTGCCACTCGTGAGCTCAGTGGCATTAAGCTAGTTGATGTCTGTGAAATCGCGGTCTCTTGGTGTTTCTCTAGCCTTTCTAGCCACTCACCCTCGTAAGCTTCTCTCTAAGCAAGAAGAGCATAGCCAGTTAATGCATAAACAGTAAATGAAATTCATGAGGTCTCACTCCCATGCCCTTTTTTCTTCTAGTTCATGCTTCCCCTTCCACCCTCCATCAGCAAGCACTGTCTATACAGTACACCTATGGTATAAATAGCCATCTCCAATCAGACTTCTCTGATGTCCATGCAGCACTAGATGTCTCAACATGACTCACCCCAAAGTCATCATCGTTTCTCCAGGTCTTCTTCTAATGCTTTATCTTTGTCACCCAAGGAATGATGCCACACCCTCTCCTAGCCAGTTAGCAAGCAGAAAACCCAGGCACCATTCTAACATTTCCCTCTTTTTTACCCCTCATAACTAATCTATCACCCTAACTCTATTGACTTTATATATCCAAAATATCTCTTGACTCTATTCATTTCTATATCTATTGCTACCATTCTAGAGCAAGTGACCATCATCTCCCACAGCCTACTGTAACAGTCACCAAAAATTCTGATTATCATTTCCCCCCTCCTCACCGAAAGTCCATTCATGGCTTTCTATTATTAAGATAAAGACTATTCAACAAAGTCCAAAAAGGTGGGACTTTGTCTTTCACAGTCTGAGCTTATTGAGTACCTTCCTTCCCTCTCTCTCTGAGATCTAGACCTGAGTTGTACAATATGGCAGCCAGTGGTCATGTGTGTCTATTTCAATGAAAATTAATTAAATTAAAAATTTAGTTCCTCAATTACACTAGCCACATTTTAAGTGCTCCACAGTCACCTGTGGTCAGTGGCTATTGTATTGGACAGCATAGATTTAGAGTATTCCCATCACCAGAACAGAAATTTCTACTGAATAGTGCTGCTCTAGACACCATGGTTTGCTTTTTGGGACATCCCTTACTTCTTCCCCACACAAAGTCAAATCTTTACAATAACCATGTTACAGATACGGCCCAGAGCAGTTAGATGACTTATCCAAGGCCTCCCAGGAAGTAGGCCCAGTGATACCAAATCTGTTTGGTTTTCAAAGAAGGATCTAAGCCACTATTTTTTTTAACCTTGGACCCATGGAAATTATTGAAAAGTGTTAGACTGGAGACTAGTGACAATCCAATTTCAGTTTATGAATAAGACAGCATAGGACACAGAAATAGATCCATATACACATGGAAATTTACTACACGAGAAAGGTGGTATTTTAAATCAGTGGAGAAAATATGTATTATTAAATGGTGTTGACACAATTGAGTAGTTGGGTCTATATATCACAACTTACACCAAATTAAATTCCAGATCAATCCCCAATTCAAAAATATAAAACCAAGAAAGCCATAGAAAGACTAGCAGATGCCATGGAAGAGTTTGTTTTCTAATCTTAGAATGAGGAAACACCTTTATAAAACAAGACAGAAATCCCAGAATGCATGGAAAATACTCATAAATTTGGACCATATAAAAAATTTTAAAGTTCCATAGAATGAACCCTATCACAAAATCAAAAGCCAAATAGCAAACTTGGACAATACACTGAAAGAGATTTAGTACATTTTAATGGGTAAGGACAGGAGAATTTGAGCCTGATTGCCTGGGTTTGAATCCTGCCTCCATTTCGTTCTCAGCAATTTGGGTTAGTTACTTCACTTCTCAGTGTCTACATTTCTTCCTTTGCAAAGTGGAAGAAATCATAGTACACAGTTCGCTGAGATGTTATGATAATCAAATAAGTTAATGCATATAACATGCTTACAACTGTGGATGGTATAACGTGAGCCCTCTAATAAGCAGTGCTAGACTACTTTTAGGACCAGCAAAGAGTTCAAACTCTATCCAGAGGACAACAGGGACTATGAAGTGTTTAAGCAAGAAAATAATAACACAATCAGATGTGTGTACTAACATCACTCTGACTAAGGTGGGAGGAACATAGATTGGAGGGGAAACAAGAGGAGAAGTTCAAAGACCAGTGGGAGGGCACACAGGAGTGCAGGTGAGAGATTTGGACTAGGGTGGGATTGGTGGCAATGAAGAGAAGGAGATGGAATAAATTGAGGAGATAGCTGCTGTTTTCTCTTTCCCCCACCTACTTTGATCTTGAGCTACATATAGTTATTTCATTCCCTATGTTAGTCCAGGTCCTGCTGAGAAACAGTTACCAAGCAGCAACGACTGCAAAATATTGACTAAGGAAAATGTCTATGAAGGAAAACAGAACTGAGGAGACTCAGAGAACCAACAGATCATGATGGTCTGATCCTTTGGGAGGATGGAGGGTGCAGTGGAAGAGTCTTTGCAGTGGAGTTTTAAGAATGTTCATCAAAGTCACCTATCAGGGATGTCTTGAATCTCCCAGGAATGGGCTTGATTGGGAGTAGTGTGTGAGAAACTGCTCAGCCTCGGTGAAAATATTTTGATGGGTGTCAGAGAATGACAGCTAGTGTTGTTGGCCAGTTGCCTGTTGTAGATCTGAGATTTTCATGGCTGTCACATACCTCGATTCTACCCACAGACTGGTCTACCCAGCCATTCACAGTTATTAACTACCTGGATTATGGACTATTCCTGCCACCATTCCTCAGTGTTTTTCTTTTATCCAAGGGGAAAATTGTGCTATTTATATTTATTGAAGTGTCTATGTAATGGAAGCTACTGTCCTCCAGTGTGTTTCTCCTTCTGTTCAAGGGAAGAATTGTGAACCGCCAAGAGCTCATCAATGAGAGTACCAACAAACAAGACCTCAACAGAGTCATAAAACAGCACCTTACAGATTTTGTGATTGAATACAACTTTGAGGTCAGTGAGCAAAGGGTCCCTAGGAGAAGGGTAGCTGGGGCGACAGTGTGTGCTTAAGATGACATGTTTTCTTTATAATTTTAGAATAGGAATCTGATTTATGAATTGAACATCCCGAATCACATGCTGCTGTTTGTCTCCAAAAGCTCTGAGTCATATGAAGTCATAATTCAGCATTATAAGCTGGCATTGAAGGAATTCCAAAACAAGGTTTGTAGAACGTGCAATTGCTCTTTAGGACTTTTAGGTGGGAATTCAAGACCTGCACACCCTGAGGCCATTTGCCTGCCCTGCTTATTATAAATTAAGTCAGGAGGGATTTCCATGCAAATTTCCTGGTTTGCATATCAGTGCTATGTATTATTTATCATTTAATTTTAAATCAGCCTCCTCCATTCTTCCCATCCAATATCACTCCTTTTTTGCGAAGGAGTCAAACTTACGCTCTTTATTGATCTTTTTAGTAAGCATACTACAGGAACGGGATGGCTTCCCTGCACGTCTAACAGTCCACACTTCACTAAGAGTGGGCGGTTTGCATGGTATCATTTATCCTGAAAGGGAGGGTGTGGAAAGACCACTCCTGCCTGAGGTTAGTGAATATGAAAAGCCTCAAGGGTGAAGCAGCACAGATTATCTGCAGGTAATTGCTGAGATTCTGGCTTTAACATTGCTCAGATCTAAGGCCAAAGATAGAAGGACAATAAGCTATATTGTCTTGGGCCAATTTCTTTTCTTTCCTTCTTTTTTAGAATTCTTGTTTTATTTATTTTTTATTTTTATTATTTTATTTATTACTTTTATTTTTTTTTACTTTATAGTCAAAGGGTAACTCCTCAGTTTTAGTCTCTTCATGTGTGAAATGGAGAAGTTGTAGAAAATTCATATGTAAAACAATAAGCAAATTACAATGAATGACACTTATTATTGTTGTTACATTATCATTAGATACAAATCCATTTCTCCCGATTGTTACTTGTATATTTAATGTAGTTATCACTACTTGGACTATCGGGGCTATTAATTTTTCTTTTCATTTTTATAAAAAGCATAATAGGCAGGTTTTTTTAAGACAAGTATTTTAAAATTAAGCAAAACATAAACTTTGAAACTTAAAATAGAGTAAAGAAAGCCACCAGAGCATGAGCATATTTAATGTTCATACTATATCTCACATGTTATTTTCCAGGAAGATAGTTTCAATCCCAAAATTTCTTCTTGCTAAACATATTTTCCATTTTCTTCAATTTTACAATTTAAGATTTCTGATGTAATGAAATTGAGTGAAATCTGATTGTTTCCTTATTCCTCCTGTAGTCAATGCTTAGTCATCTTTTCTTCCAGGTTTCTTTTAACTCTTTAATCTAGCTGGAATTTATTTTGGCATATATCAGGAGATGAAGTTCTAAACTACTGCTTCCCCAATGCCATTTGTTGACTGTGATCCATTTTAAAGCTAAACAGTTGGCTTAATGTTGTCCCGATAGATTGTACCCCCACATCTATCTTGTTTATCTCTATACTCCAAAACTCAGCAAACAGAAGGTAGTCAATATTTGTTGAAAGTATACAACAATGATTTTAACATGTCTGCTTTGCTTTTTAACCTTCCTAGCACTTAGAAGAGTGATATGTGGTGGGGTTCTTACTCTTCTGACAGATGAATGACCTGAACGTATCTGACAGCAGGTGGCTTCAGTGGCCTCTCTCTCTTCTCCCTGCTTCTTCTCTGAAAGTGAACTTTCAGAAATTTTTATCATGCCACTTTCTGGTTGTCCTTCAGCAGCCTCCCATTACATTCGGACTAAACCCAAGCTCCTTGTGGGACCCCTGACCTCAACTTTGACAGTCTTTGAGCTGATCTCCATGACTCATTCTCACGGAGCTGAAGCCACATGGGCTTTTCTTTCTTATTCCTAGAACACTCTAAGCTCTTTGTTTTGTCACCAGGTCTTTGCATTGGCAGTTTCCACTGCCTGGATCACTGTTCTCTGACTTGTTACTGTCACCCAGGTCCCAAGGGAAATGTTACCTCCTCAGACTTTCCTCCTGACCACCCTACCTACTCAAGTTACCCAAGTTACTTTGCCCCATCTAGGCAGTTAGTCTCCATCACATTGCCCTGTTTTACTGTCTAATTGGCATTTATAGCTATATGAATTTATCTTTGTTTACTAATTTCTTGTCTGTTTCCTCCACTAGAATATAAGCTCTCTGAGGACAGAGATTTTGTCTACTTTGGGCAGTATTGTATCCCCAGTACTTAGTGAGATGCCTCAAACATAGTAGGCATTCCATTAATATTTCTTGAATGAGTGAGTGAAGTCATGAATTTTCATGATTAAATCATTTTGAATAATAATAAGAAGAACTAGCACATATAAGACATTTCCTACCTGCCAGTCATTGAACTAAGCCTTTACATACATTGACCTGTTTTAATTCTCACAGCAACCCTAGGTAGTAGGCTTTATAACAATCACCATTTTACAGATAAGGAAACTGAGGCACAGCACTTCCTGCATTCCTAAAGTTGTGTGGATAGTGCATGGCACAAGGATGATGAAACCAGGATGGTGGCTGCCGCCTGTCTGTGCTTTTGGGTGCAGAGCTGCACCTGCCCAAAGGAAGGCAGCCTTCAGGAAGTCCTTCAGAGGTGCGCTACAGACCTCACTAGTTGCACAGCTTCCCAGCAATTTCTCTCCCTTAGTAAAGGATCCACAGAGACAAGGGTTTTGTTTAATTTGACAGATCCTTTTCATCCTTGTGAACACCGACGAGTCCAGAAATGGCCGTGTCTTAGAATACTTCCGTGTCACAGAGGTCGATGTCCCATCTGTACAAATTCTAAACATGAGCTCCGACAACAGGTACAAAATGCCTTCAGATGAGATAACCTACGACAACCTCAGGAAATTTGGCCATAGCTACCTGGGTAAAAGTGCCAAGGTAAGTTTGTTCTTGGAGAAGATTGATCCAGAACCTCAAAATCACCCTTTTCTCATAATTCTGCTTGCTTTGGTCATCTGAATGGGGAGGCAAAATAAAGACCAACTTCATGGTTAAAAGTGGGGAACTCTCCCATCTTGCCACCTCAAATCTATCAAACTTTTGATCTGTCCTGAGCCTATAAATCCACCATTCAATCCTAAGTTGTAAAGCAAAGGCATTTCCTTTGCAGAAATTTTCTTTTTTCTTTCTTTTTTAATGCTTCAATAATATTTTTATTCTCTAAATTTATTTTATTTTTATTTTAAAGATCGTGGGGTACAATCCAGGGTTAAGTATACAAGTGGTCATTGTGTATGTAAAGTTTGGGCCTCACTTTGGTCCCCACTTCACCTGGTTTGAGATCAGGTACCCTTATTGATGAGGTGTGCCTCCCCTCCCTTCCCTGGCAATTTCCCACTACTGTCAATCCCTTTCTTATAGTAGTATGATAATTGTTCAGGGTCTGCTTATGAATGGGAATATGTGATGCTTGGTTCTTTGTTTCTGTGATAGATCACTCAGTATTATAGGCTCTAAGTCCATCCAAGTTGCTGTGAAGTTCATAATTTTGTCCTTTACGGTTGCATAATATTCCATTGTGTATATGTACCAGATTTTAAAAACCCAGTCCACTTTCGATGGGCAGCATGGCAGGTTCCATTTTTTTACTATTGTGAATAATACTGCAATAGACATGCATGTGCAGGTATCTTTTTCATATAGTGATTTGAGTTCCTGCGGTTATATTCCCAGAAGAGGGATTGCATGGTCGTATGACAGGTCTACTTTTAGATCTTTTAGGAATTGCCAAACTGTTTTCCACAGAGGTTGTACTAGTTTACACCCCCACCAGCAGAGTAGAAGTGTTCCTTTTTCCGGTATCCTCTCCAGCATCTGTTGGTTTTTGAGTTATTGATGATGGCCATCCTGGCTGGAGTTAGGTGGTATCTAGTGTGGTTTTAATTTGCATTTCTTTGATGGTTAGTGAGGCGGAGCACTTTATCATGTATCTGTTGGCTGTTTGTATGTCTTCTTTTGAGAAGTGTCTATTCATATCTTTTGCTCGCTTTTTAATAGGGCCTTTTGTTTTTTTCTTTTCAGCATGTTTGAGTTCCTTGTAGATAAGAATTTTCAATTGAAGTATGGACTCTTCAATCAGGCACGTTGGCTCATGCCTGTAATCCTAGCACTTTGGGAGGCTGAGGTGGGAGGATTGCTTGAGCCCAGTAGTTTTAGACCAGCTTGGGCAACATAGCCAGATCTTGTCTCTTCAAAAACAGTTTTAAAAACCCAGCCAGACATGGTGGTGCACATCTGTAGTTCCAGCTACTTGGGAGGCTGAGGAGGGCAAATCCTTTCAGCCCAGGAGTTCAAGGTTGTGGTGAGCCATGATCATGCCACTGCACTCTAGCCTGGATGACAGAGTGCAACTCTGACTCAAAGAGCAAGAGCAAGGGAGGGAGAGAGGGAGGGAGGGAGGGACAGAGGAAGAAAAGAAAGGAAAAGAAATATGGACTCTTAGAAGAGCTAATTTATTTTATCCTTTGAAAGAAGTCTCTTATTCTCTTACCAGCTCCAATGTCAATTTAGTTGGCCCAAGGGAAGAGGCTTGCTTTAAGGAGGAGGAGGGGATAGAACATTTAGACCAATTGTAATTATGCCTAAGGCTTTGGGGACCTTTTGGTTGGGTAGGATTAGAAGGGGGTCTATTCTGCTGACAGGAAGGAGAGACTGCAGAAATGTAGCCATTAACACCTCGTCACCCACTGTTTATGTATCCTCAACTTGCCTGCTGATTAAGGGAACCAAATTATTTATTTTTCAAATGGGAGCACTTTTGAGAGTAAAAGAGGGCTTCTTTAGAAATAGTCAGGAACAACAGAAGCAAAGTTGACTCTTCAGGCAAATAAAAATCTATAGTCCCCTTACGTCTATCCACTACCTTCTATCCATCTCCCTAGAGACACTGCTTTCCCTGCAGCCTTCTTGGGTGAAAGCTGTTTGTCTTTTAAGCACAACATTATCACAGGGCCCGGCAGTGAGACTGCTGTCCTTCTTACCACTTCCACCCATTGCTGTTTCTTCCACCTTCAGAAACCCTGGGTTCGTTCTTTGGGTCCCATGCTTTGGGACTTTAGACCACATGCTACCTCCCCTCATCGCTGCCCTCTGACTGCCTTCCTAACACTCTGAGGACTGTGATTCTGATGGCAGACGTGCCCTCCGCCTCAACTCTGCCATCATTTCCAGAGATGGTCTCTCTTCTTCAGTAGTTAGTGTGTCCAACTTAACAACCTGCTCTCATGGACAAGCCCTAGAGACGGCAGCGTTGCTGAATACTCGACTTCCCTTCTCCAGGACCTACTTTGTTATAATTCCTTACTCTTCTCATGGCTTCCAATCTCTCCTGATCCCATTCCACAATCTCTTTATAGACTCTTCCATGAACTTGGATTTCATGGTTCTCTTAACTCTGTTATCCCCCGGACCTTCCACCTCCTCTAAACTCTGTAGTATTCACCAGACAAAATTCCAACTCTGATTGAAACCACTTAACTTCCCAACTGCTCCCAGGACAACACTGGAAAAAACCACCATCACCATGAGTCTGGTTGGCTTTGTGGCATCACAAACCCAACCTCCCATGAACTCTCAGAAATGTCCTAGCATCTCTACATAAATTTCTCTTAGTGTGTTCATTTTCTTAATCACAGTCTATTTCTTCTCATACCCTGTCCCTACTTTCATTCTCAGTTGAGTATTCTACCTATAGATCATTAAGAAAACAGAAAACAGTTCATACTGGGGCCTCCTCATTTTCTATCAACATGTTTATAATTCTATCTGGAACTCTGCCTTTCTCTCTTCTCCTCAGTTAGATCTGAGGCAGTGTCTGTTTCTCTCTCAAAGACCAACACATCCTCTTGTGCTCTTGGAGCAGAGATGAGCATCCTTTATATTACCTATGTGATCTGCCTGGTTTGGCTGATTCCCAATTCTGCATCATTGTCATTATTTCCTAGCTCCCATTTCCAGCCCCTACCTCCTTTATGCTCCCACTGAAAGAATCTTTAAGTAGTTTTTGGTTGTCAGCTAGGCAGAAACCATATAGTAAGGGCCTTAAGAGTGTATTTGGTTTCCTAAGAGCATTGCCAAGCCAGATTTGCACAGTGAAAATAGAGCCCTACTTGTATAAAATAAAGATGTGGAGAGGATTGAGAGGAGATGTAAAAGGAATATTAGGAGTCCGTTCCAGATAAGAGATGTAGGCTACCTTGACTAGGACAGTAACAGTGCAGATGGCGGAAAGGGTGGGGATTCAAGAGATCCTTGGGAGGCAATATCTGATTGCCTCCCGAATGGTTGTAGAGAAAGATGTGTTCGAGATTTCCAACACTTCCTTCCAAGGGAAGCAAGAGCTGAGCTCATTCTTTTGTCCATTTACTTGCAAAACATTTGTTGAGGTTCTATTATGTACCAGCCAGTGGATACTCAATGATGAGGGATGACTCAGTGATGAAGTGATGACATTCCATCTGGTGTGATTGACACACATTAATCAAATAGCCATAAAAATACATATAAATAATAAACTTGAATAAGTGATACAAGGAAAAGTACTGAGTGCTATGAGTATTTATAGTAGTGGGACTTCTTCATCCAACTGGGGAAGAGTCAAGGAAGTCCTCCCTTATGTCATTCTGAAGGAGTTGAGTTAGCTAGAGGAAGAAGGGAGGGTAACAGTGTAAACAAAGGCCCGAGGTAGAAGCAAGGTTCGCCCTTTGGGTAAACTGAAGACCAGAATGGCTAAAGAAAGAAAAGGGAAGAATGATGATAAGCTTGGAGAGACTACAGGATCCAACCAGTATGTGATCAAGATTGCAAACATCTGTAAATGATCGTGTTCTTGATTCACAGAGTAACTGGGGTAGCTAATTAAAAAAATCTAAGATACTAAAGTCGTGAACCCCTCATCTCAGAATCCCAGGCAGCATGTATTTGAACGCTAAAATCCATCCCAATGTGTGGTTCTGTTTCCCCCTCAGTTCTCTGACCCCAACCTTCCCTGAGTGACCCAGAGTTGACATCAAGTTCATGATCTGTCTCAGCACTTCAAACTCTTTCCCAAGGCTCTTGTGGAGGAGAGAGAGAGAGAGAGAGAGAGAGAGAGAGAGAGAGAGAGAGAGAACCCTTAGTTGTTTCCAGCCAGGGTAGGAAGCACTAACTTAGAAACTTTTTCTGGAGACTGTTAGACCTCTTCAATTTGCTTCCTAGAAACATCAGTCCAGTGAAGAGATTCCAAAATATTGGAACCAGGGACTAGTTAAGCAGCTTGTGGGGAAGAACTTCAACATAGTCGTCTTTGACAAGGAAAGAGACGTATTTGTGATGTTCTGTAAGTACCTACACAGAAAGAAATGGGAGGAAATGGGCTCCTACATTATTTTTCAAGTGTTTCCCCTGAATTCTTGGGCACCAAAATCTTTAAAACCCATCAATACACCATGCCAAGGATGGTCTTTAAACAACCAAAGAGTCAGATCAACTACAAATCAACTCTGTACCCCAAAATTGAATGGTTGGAATGTATGGAATGCCCTTCATATCGTCCAGATCTGTAGCTATTTATAACAATAATTGCTGGTGGCATATACTGATTGATTGGATGCTGCAGTGTATCAGGACCTCATACTGGGCCATTTCATACGTTATCTCATTTAATCTTCACAATGTCCTTTTGAAAGTAGCTATTATTAATCCCAGCACTTTGGGAGGCAGAGGTGAGAGGATTGCCTGAGCCCAGAGGTTTGAGACCAGCCCAGGCAACTTGGCAAGACCTCATCTCTATAATACATCAAAAAATTAGCTGGGCATGGTGGCATGTGCTTGTGGTTCCAGCTACTTGGAGGGCTGAGGCAGAAGGATCACTTGAGCCCAGCAGGTCGAGGCTGCAGTGGCAGTGAGCGTGGCATTGCACTCTAGCCTGAGCAACAGAGTAAGATACCAACTCAAAAAAAACAAAGAAAGTAGCTGCCATTATTGCTTCCACTTTACAGATGTCTAAACGGAGTCTCAGGGAGTTGAAGAAACTTTTCCAGTATCCTATACAGCCAGTAAGTGCTGGAACTGCCATTTGAACCTATGCACTTTGGTTCCAGCAATTACACTTGTAACTACCAACAGAATTCCTTTGTTTCTGGCTTTATATGACTTATCAAAAGGCCCATATGAGGCGGGGACCGCTATCCTTCATGTAAGGACTTAGCACAGTGTCTGGCATATTGTAAGCACTTGATAAATGACAATTATTGCTATTTTTATTCCTATTATTATAATTATGCCCAGTGCTCACCTAAGGACTAGTTCCCTTTTTCCTACCATTTCTGATCTGCATGTGGCAACCAAAGCCAGAGGCATTCCCTTCCATCCTGGGACACAGAGGAAGGAGACACTGACGTTATTTCAGACATCTCTTTTATTTTAACATTTAATGAGCACTTACAATGAGCCAGGTATAAATTTGCTGTTGACACACCTGCTCTAATGAAATGTGTTACAAGTTTGTGAGGAAGGTGTGGTGGCTTTTTCCAAGATACAGAGCAGAGAATCCTACCACAGAGAGGTTAATTACCTTACTTAACATAGTAAATAGCAAGGCAAAAAGTTTGAAGCAAGTTCACTTCCTTGAGAGTAAGATGAGGGCTGGACTATATCACGCAGACCTTTTAAAATCTCACCGAAATGGACTCTCATCCCCAGAGTGAGATGTTTAAGGTCTATATGGCTGAATCACTACTATATATCTGCTGCCTTTAGATGAGAGGCTAGGAGTAGCCTTTCTGCTCCTAGACAAGAAACACCATTTCGTTCTGGTAAAAGGCAAAAGCAGCCTCATTTTTTTGGAAGCAGAGCTGTCAGATTGCCCCCCTGGGGCTGCCGCCATTATGCCCCCTCCTGTACTGACCCAGAACCTGCTGGGCTCAAGGGGTCTTCCAGGGACACTGCTGGCAGGGGGCATGGTCCTGGAGGTACTTGATTTGTAAATGGGGTTATCATCCAAAGATGGAGTGTCTGGGGGCCTTTGAGGCCATTCCTCCCAGAAAGCCAGAAACTTTAAGTTCTGAGCTTTAGTGGAAGGATAAGCAGGTGAGGTTTGGTTTTCTCCATGTTGGAAAAGGTCTCTGCTTTCTCTCCAGAGGGCCAGGAGTCTGGGCCAGACTCAAAGATCAAAAAACTGTCCTCAAGAAATTTCAATGTCTTTTTTCCAGGGGTAATTAATTGTACTTGTCATACTTCTTGGGCATATCTGTTCACTTCTTGGGCACGTTTTCCCCCACTAGACTAAAAAAAATCTTATATTTCATTATATGACATTATTTATAATTGTAGTATAACAGTCACAAGTCAAGCAGCCTGTCTTCAAATCCTGCCTTTTCTGCTTAATTACCTGATGACCTTAGGCAAGTAGCTTACCCTCTTTTAGGAAACACACACACACACACACACACACACACACACACTTTTGGAAGAACATAAGGAGTCATCTAGCATAAATTTTTTCTTGGCTTTTTTCTTTGACTGGAGCAGAATGCCATAAAAAAGAAAAAAAAAACAGATGGATATGGTGGTGCATGTCTGTAGTCCCAGCTTGCTTGAGCCCAAGAGTTTGAGGCCAGTGTTGGCCAACACAGTGAGGGCCTTTATCTTAAAAAAGAAGAAAATGTTAACATGATAAAGGTGCTAGTGTCTGGGTAGAAGAAGTCTAGGCTAATTTTTTTAATGTGTCTAATAACAATCAGGTACTGTGACTGAAATGTAATAATAACCTAATATGCAATTAAAAGAAAGAAGGAGTGCAACTTGCAAAACAGCAGAAACCTAAGTAGAAACTCAGGGATGGGATGTGGGGGAGCAGGGAACACCAGCTTTCAGGGTTTTCGTCAGCAATGGCCCTTCTTTTCCAGATGCGCCCTGGTCTGAAAAGTGTAAGGCGCTGTTCCCATTATTGGAGGAGTTAGGCAGAAAGTATCAAAACCACTCCACAGTCACCATCGCCAAGATCGACATCACAGCCAACGACATTCAGCTAATGTATATGGACCGGTACCCATTCTTCAGGCTGTTCCCTACCGACTCTCAACAAGTAAGGGGCTCTTGGGACTCACATAACTGAAAACTCCGGACTCACATAACTGAAAACATGGTTATATTTTCGTCAGGGACTCAGTTTCTCCCTATCTCCAGCTGTGCCTTCTACCTCTCCAGCTGTGGTGGTAGTCATGCCTGTGGACTTAGAGGAAGAATGGTTTCCCCAAAAGGCCCGCTTACCAGGAGGGCAAAACCACAGTTGGGCACTTCACCATCCAAGTCAAACAGATCTTTAGCATCTATGAGGGCCCTCCAGGTCAAAGACTGATTCTTTCAGCTTCGGCCCCTATCATCCTCTCACGTTCAAGTCTAAAGAGAATTTTCCAGTAGCTTCCTCCAAGTCCTCATCCCTTATCCAATCACTGTGGCCAAGTAGATGTGTGGGTGTTTTGATCGCCAAGCCTGGGTTATAGTTCTGTCTAATATTGGGGGCTGAGCTCTACCCTGACTATATGGGAAAAGGTGAGCAGAACCTTCGTGTGACTGTTGGGGGTAGGCCATCACCAGGTGGAAGAAGAATGCATGCTAGTGACAAACAATGTCGTTTACTCCTTGGGGTTATCGTCATCACCCATCACTGGTGTTGGTGGAACACACTTTCTATGCCACTTTGGCTCATGGAGAAGGGCTTCAGTCAAAGAAGTGTGAGCCCAGGTTCCCGCCCCTCAGAAGAGGATGACTGAGTGTAGGGGAGATGTCATCATCTCTAAGTGCAACTGGAACTGTAGGAAGGAGCAGACTCTGGAGGGTAAATATGGCTGGAAGTCTCCATGCAGACATAGGACTCCGGAGAATGGTAGGGATTTAAATCAGGTTGGAGGAAAGGCTGTGCTTTACAGGTATGAAGTGCAATCTGAACACAAAGGTTGTAGAAGGGTGACCCCAGCGCTGCGAGGGAGATGCCATCCCCCTGGTGCAGAAGATGCATGTGGGATAGTCATGAAACTGAGGCTAAGTGTCATGGCCTTAAGTTATCTGAAAAAGAGTTCAGACAATCAGAGGGCAGTGAGTAGTTCTGAACCTTCCTAAAGACCAAAAGAGGAAAGGAAGCTAGTGATGACTGAGCATGCAGCGCCTGCTAGATGCTCGGTAAAATAACTGCATTCTTCCTCTTATTATTTGTTACTATCATAATAATACCAGTAGCAAATACATATAGTGCTTACCTGTAAGCCAGGCACTGTTTTAAGAGCTTTACATATATTAACTCATTTAATTCTTATAATAGCACTATGAGGTAGGTACTATTATTGCTCCATATTGCACATGAGGAAACTGAGTCAGAGAAGTCAACCAATAAGACCACACTGCTAAGTAATGTAGTCAATACTTAAACCCTGTGTGTTTTTATAGTTCTATGCTGTAATCCACTATATTACAAACCTATGCTGGAGACATTTTTATTATTCTTATCTCAAAGTCATGGCAATGTAGGCTCAAACCTGCTCGACGTTCCCAGGTTGCTAGGAATTTGACCCTGGGTTACCTGTGTGATCATCCATGACCATCTTACAAGAAGGAACTCCCATGCTGACCCTGTTCCATTTTCTTCCTAGGCCATCCTATATAAGGGAGAACATACCCTGAAGGGCTTCTCTGACTTCCTGGAAAGCCACGTCAAGACCAGGGTTGAGGATGAGGATGAGGTAAGGGGAAACATGAACACCCTGGATTATTCTATTCCACAGTTATTGGGAACTCAATGAGCTACAAAAGAATGTACCAAGAGTTCCATAATCTAAGGAGATGGTTGAGGACGAATGGATACCCATCCAGTTTGGGTGCCTTTACCAGTCACCTTTATTTCATGGGCACTTACCTTGAGGAAGAAGAAATGGCAGACTTTAGAAATAACTGGAAGGGCAAAGGCTCTGAGGTAACACACAGCTCCTAAGGCTGCTTCCCTTGGTTCACACTCCTGAGATGAGGACTAGATGTCTTGATGGAATTCTGCACTCTAGCATTATTCTCCTAGTGGATGGGACTAGTTTCCCTCCTCCCCTAATTATGTCTCAGTGAGCTCCTTGGCTGGAAGGTGCCATCTGTATTGGTTAGGACTCTTCAGATGTAAATGTCAGACATCACTCTTTGGCTTAAGCAGCAATGGAAATGTATCCTAGTAACTGGTAGAACACCAGGCATGAGTGGATTCTGAACTAAAACTCACTTTCTATCGTTCCATCTTTTACTTTCCTCTATGTTGGTTTTGTTCTCAAGCAGTCACTTCCCCACAGAGGGTCAAAGATTACCCCAAAGCTCCAAAATAACATCCTTTCAGCTTGGAAAGAAAGCATCTACTTCTTAAAAGTCCCAGAAAATGTCCCAGAAAATTTCATTAACCAAGCCTCAGTCATCTGCCCAGTCCCGGCACTAGGGGTGCAGCAGCCATGCCTGTGGACTTAGAGTAAAGGAAGGGGTTCCCCCAAAGGTCCTCTTACCAAAAGGGCAAAACTACACTTGGGCACTTTCCACCCAAGCCAAATGGATCTTTAGCATCTACGAGAACCCTTTGGGCCAAAGACTGGTTCTCTCTGGGCACTTCCAGAAAACGAGACCTTGGCAATTATAATCACAATGATCACATATTTCTTGTTTCCTTATTTTTTTGACCTCCCCTTTCCCCTTTCACCTTTTCCTTAACAGTTATTGTTTGTTGAGCAAAATGAAATGACAGAAGAGGAGGTATTAACTGAGGAAAAGGAGATACCTGTTATAGAGGAAGAGTCACCTGAAGAGCAGTTGCCTAAGGTGGAGAACATGACCAAGCACTTGACCAAGCTGGAAGAGGCAGCTGGACGGAAGAAAACACCTGAGGAGGTGGTGGCAGCGGCACCTAAGCCAAAGGGGCCTCCACAACCAGAGAAGAAACCAAAAGTCAAGGAAGAACTTTAGTTCCTCTGAAACCAGGAGGAAAGATGCCCATTTTCTAAGTCCTAGCATCATATTCTGAGTGGGTTCGTTCTAATAAAAGTATATATCACTGTGATGGGACAGGCAGGGGACGGGATAATAAAGCCCTTGAATGTCTTCCCTGTTTGCTCATTAACCTCTTTTCCTGGTTGGTGCTGCCTTAGAAGAGCCGTTTGGCTTGGGATTCAGACAGAGCTGCAAGAGAAGCCACAACAGCAACATTTAACGTGTGTTTGCAACATGCTGAGCATCCATCTAGTTCTCACAAGATCACTGGTGGTTGGGTTTTATTAACTCCATTAACAGATGAGGAAATTGAGGTACAGAGGTTAAGCGACCAGTCAGGACTACACAGCTAGAAAGTTGTTGTGATGCAATCGCAGACAACCTCATTCCAGAGACTGTGCACTTAACCAGTATGGGTACCCCTATGTGTACACTATGTGTACGGGTGAGGGTCCCCAGAGTTGGGCCAAACCTTTCAAATGAAGTGGACTAATTTGGTTATGCTGCATTTCAGCACCGTATCAAAGCGACCTAACACCAAATCTGTTCCCAGACTTACACACCTCCATTAAGTGACCCATTCACTCAAGCTATCATCTTCAATTGGCTGCTACTACTACCATAAAAGTGACTTATCAATCCATGTGACTCCACCCACTTTCCTCCACGTGACCACTCACTTTCCTCCATGTGACTCCACTCACTTTCCTCCACATGACTCCACTCTCTTTCTCATCTCCTCTGACGGTCATCTACCCTTTCTTAGCTGCCAGAGTCTTCTAATTGGTCTTTGTGCTGCCATACTATACGTCTGTCTCCCTCTCCCAAAAAACCCTCTATATTTTCTACAGCTTGTGAGGCCATCTTTTAAAAATCCATAGGCATGAGTACTTACCTTATTAACTTGTTTAAACTATAAAGTCTTCTTTATTGCTTTTAGGACAAAATCCAATATGCTTATCATACCTTCAAGGTCTTGAAAGGTCTAGCCCTGCAGATCTGTTCTCCTGTTCCCTCTCCCCGCCCACGTCCTAGACTCCAGTCATACTTCCTGCCTATCCTTTAAGCAAAATCAATTCACTTTCTCTGTCTGTGTTTCCTCTGCCTAAATGCACTCCCTTCAAAATATACTCCCCAGGTCCTCACACAGCTCGTCCTTTTCATTATTAAAATCTCAGCTCATTTGAGACCATCCTAGGCAACATAGGAAGACCTTGTCTACACACACACACATACACACACACACATACACACACACACACACACACACACACACACAATTAGCTGGGCATGGTGGTGCATGTCTGCAGTCCCAGCTACTCAAGAAGCTGAGGTGGAAGGGTCTCCCAAGTCCAGAAGGTTGGGGTTGAGGCTGCAGGGGTCATGTTCATGCCACTGCGCTCCAACTTGGGAGACAGAGACGCTAACTCAAAAAATAAAATCTCAGCTCAAATGTTACCACCTCAAAGAAGACTTCTTGAAGGTCAATATTTGAAAGCATCTTAGTATTTTGTTATGCAGTGGTATATTGCCGGCTTCCCCAAATAGCATGTAAGTCCCATGACAATGGACATACCTATGTTTTTAATATGTGGTGTCCAATTCAGGGTTAGGTATACAAATGTTCATTATACAGGTACCCTTGTTGATGAGGTGTGCCCCCACCTCTCCTGGCAGTTTCCCACTGTTGCCAATCTCACTCTCCCCCCTCCCCTGACAGTTTCCCACCACTACCAGTCCCTTTCTTGTAATATTATGATAGTTGTTCAAGGACTGCTTATGAGTGAGAACATGTGATACTCAGTTTTTTGTTTCTGTGATAGATCACTTAGTATTATAGACTCTAAGTCCTTCCAGGTTGCTGCGAAGTTCGTAATTTTGTCCTTCTTTATGATTGTGTAATATTCCATTGTGTAATATTCCATTGTAATATTCCATATGTACCACATTTTTTTAATGCAGTTCTCCTTCGATGGGCAGCACAGTTGGTTTCATGTTTTTGCTATTGTGAATAATGCTGCAATAAACATGTGTGTGCAGGTATCTATTTCATAGAGCGATTTGGGTTCCTCCAAGTATATTCCCAGTAGGGGGATTGCTAGGTCATATGGGAGGTTGATTTTTAGATCTTTTAGGAATTGCCAAACTGATTTCCACGGAGGTTGTACTAGTTTCCACTCCCACAAACAGTGTAGAAGTGTTCCCGTTTTCCCACAACCCCTCCAGCATCTGTTGTTTTTTGAGTAATTGATGATGGCCATCCTGACTGGGGTTAAGGGGCAACTCAGTGTGGTTTTAATTTGCTTTTCTTTGATGACTACTGAAGCTGAGCATTTCTTCATGTATTTGTTGACTACTTGTATGTCTTCTTTTTATTTTTTAATTGAAGTCTCACTCCTTCGCCCAGGCTGGAGTGCAGTGGCCCACAGGCTCACGGCAACTCCAGCGTCAACCTTCTGGGCTCCAGCGATCCTTCCGCCACAGCCTTCCAAGTAGCCGGAACTACAGACGCACGCTACCATGCCCAGCTATTTTTATTTTATCATAGAGATGAGGTCTCGCCAAGTTGCCCAGGCTTGTCTCAAACCCACAGTCTCAAGCAATCCACTTGCCTTAGTCTCCCAAAGTGCCGGATTACAAGCTGAGCCACTGAGCCCAGCCTTGTATGTCTTCTTTTGAGAAGTGTCTGTTCGTATCTTTTGTCCAGTGACATATCTATTTTCTTCCTTACCGTATTCTCACAGCCTAGAACTCTGCTTGACAATAGTACCTGCTCAATACATTGTTCATGGATAAAATGAAAAGTTCCAAATTAAGAGAGAGATACATGATTCCATAGTCATCTCAAAAGGCAGAGGTGCTGACAATGTTGCTCTCACATCCAAATTGGACGCTGTATTCGTTTCCTATCGCTGCCTTGACAAATTAACAAACTTAGTGGCTTAAAACAATATAAACTTATTCTCTTCATGTTCTGGAGGCCAGATATCAGAAATCAACTTCAGGAGACTAAAGTCAAGATTTCATCAGAGATGGGGTCATCTGAAAGAATCCCTGGCCTTGCCTCTTCTAGCGTCGGGGGTCTGCCTGCACTTCCTGTCTCATGGTTCTATCCTGGAATCACGCCGACCTTCTGTCTCATTCTCACATCTCCTTCCTCTGACTCTGTCTCCTCTTAGAAGCACCACTGTGATTTCATCCAGCTTCCCTAGACAACTGCTCCATCTCAAGAGCCTTAATCATGCCTACTCAGTTCCTTTTGCCATGTAAGATGACATACACAGGTTTGGGGCTTAGGATGTACCCATATTTGGGGGTCATTATTCAGCCTTCCACAGGCTCATATTGCTAATCTGTGTCATTCATTTCAGTCTGGTGACAATAGGCCTTCTCTTGAGAAAAGAACGGTTTTATTTTAGGGACTGAGGTCTCCACAAACCCTCTGGGCCTCTCCTACCTGTCATGTGTGGCAAAGGCTGTTTGTGCTTTTTCTAGGCTCCAGAGCCAGCTCCCACACCACACCATACCATCCTCCTAACCTGGTCACATCCAGAGGACGCAGGGAACAGCCTGGGGCCCTGGAACTCACTTGAGCCAGGTGGTGGGACAGGAGCAGGTGTTAGTATTCAGGACACGGCTTGAGGCTTACCTGCCTCGGTCTTGAGACCATGTGGCTGCCAGTTAAAGGAGGGGTATGGGGACTGCTGGGACTACATCACATGGAACAGAGCCCACGACAGGCTATGAGCCAGACTATGGGTGGGCCACCTGTAGGTCCCCAATGTGCAACTGGAGCCTCAGGAGGTGGGGACTCAGGTAGGTAGGTGAGGTGACTGATACCCAACCATTGAAAGGGTCTTCTCCTTTGGCTCATTTTCTGACCCTTTTTAACACACACAGCCTCTCTTTCTAACCCTTTGTTTTCTGTTTAATCAATGTTTTAAAACTCTCTACCCCTGAGCTTTACTCTCTTGAAAAAACCCAAAACAATTTATCCCTGTAAGATCCTGTCATGGCTTAGCATAGAATCTTCTTTACCCACGAGGGGTACAGTTTGTCTCAAAGGTAAATCTGAGTGAGATGTGGGTTTCAGCATTACGTACTAGCTAGCTGCATCATCTAGAGGAATTTACTCAACCTCTCTGAAAGTCACTCTTCTCCCCTGTAACATGAGTTACTATGTTTTGTTGTACAAGACAATGGAGGTAAAACCACTGAGAACAATGTCTGACACAAGAGAAGCAATCACTAAGCAATAGCTGTCAAGATTATTAAGGTCAAGCCTCCTCTCCCATGTTTGAAAGCCAAGAAAGAAGAATGTTTAAAGAAGAAGGGGACCACACTGACCGACTAAGTAAAGTTCATTCAAAAATATTTACTGAGCACTGGCCTGGAAGTAAGATAAAGAGAAAAATAACTGATAGGACTTGGCAATGTGGACATCTTTGATGATCTTGATAAGTAACAGAGCAGAAGACTTTGCCATTGGAAAGATAGCTTGTTATGGCTGGGCACAGTGGTTCATGCCCAATCCCAGCATTTTGGGAGGCCAAGGCGGGAGGATTGCTTGAGCCCAGGAGTTTGAGACCAGTCTAGGCAACACAGCAAGACCTCGCCTCTACAAAAAAATTTTTTTAATTAGCCAGATGTTTTGGTGCACATTTGTAGTCCCAGCTACTTGAGAGACGGAGGCAGAAGGATCACCTGGAGCCCAGGAGGTTGAGGCTTTGTCTAGGGGGCAGAGTGCAATCTCCACTCAAAAAGAAAGAAAGAGAGAAGGGTGGGGGGAGAGGGAGAGAGAGAGAATGAGATAGAAAGAAAATACAGCTTGTTATACTCACAGACCCCCAAGAAGAGGGTGGGGCAGGGAGGAGAGGAGCGCACCTGGGGAAGCACCAGGGTCAGTCAGGAAGTAAAGAGAGCAGGGGAAAAGGAGAGAAAAAACCTTTATTGTGGTTTCTGTAGGAAGGAAAGGGAGGGTCCAGGTAGGCAGGTTTAGGATTGGCTGGTTTGAATAATTTCAGAGGGCTCTGGGGCATAGGAGTTGTCCTTAGTTGTCTGGTGCCTGGTCCCTTGGGGTGATCGAAGCAGGAAGTAGGGACTCTGAGTGTGAAAGCCCCAAAAAGGAGGCCAGGGCTTGGGGGTACGGAGTCTGGACTGATTGGTTTGTAGATGAACGGCACATTCATAGGTAAGCTGTTTGCTGTCTCTGGTAATTAGCCAACCCGGGGAAGGACAGTCCCTCCAAGGTCAGCAACACCCTAAGATGTGAAAGCATCAAATACAGAATCTAGAAAACATGGTTATTGCATGTGTGAATAGATTTCAACCCCAGCTCCTCATTTTCCTACCTAGGTCTTTGCTCAGATAATTCCAGAAGCCACCTGGGGTCACCATCTTTAATCTTTTAAAGATACCCAGACTAAGGTTTAGCCAAGACCTCATGAAAAAGGCACAGGATACAAAAGACCAGTTCAGAAAAGAAAGAACTAATTGTAAACAAGTGAAGAAATGATAACTCTCTTTCATCAAAGTATTGCAGAAGCAAATACCAAAATATTTCTGATTTATCATTTTGGCAAAGATGAAAGTAAGTGACCAATGCTCAGGACTGGTGAGTACTTTTGGTGGGATTGTAAACTAAGTTTTAAAAATTGATCTGGAGTGCTGTGTAGGAAAAAGTATCAAAAGTCTTACAGCTGTGCCACCTCTTTGACCTAAAAATTCCACTCCTATCCTGAGAAGATTACCGCCCCAGTGCTGATGGTTATCCCACACTGAGTGGGACAAAAATGAAAAAAGTTCTAAAAACATCAATGCCCTGGTTTCGGTGCTATTTCCTGATTAGTCCAAGTTCACACACATTTAACACTTGCCAACATGATGACATTCACTCTTACAGTGATTTTTGGATTGCATGGAACGAGTCAGGACACATGGGTTTTAACTCAGGTTCTGCCATGTTCTAATCCTGTGACTATACAACAGCAACACAGCCTTTGTAAGACTTCCATGAATATAATCATGACTTTGTGTCTTTATTTGCATTGCCTTTTTTAACCATGATTACAATTGTGGAAGATAGGTAATCTTATTTTGTAGGTGAGGAAATGGACCTCAGGAAGGCTAAGAAATGAGCCCACTGGCACACAATAAACAGCAGATCCAAGGTTCATATAGACTGACTCCAAAATCAGTCTGTTTAATCAGAAAGTTATTCCACTTCCCAAGGAACCTCCACTTATCAGACCTCAGATTTCTTGTTTCACAGAGTGGGTCAGATCCAGTGATTTCTGAATTATCTTCAGGCTCTGACTTTCAGTCCTTTTCAGTTCCTCTCCTGTGCGTGTCTGGGCCCTAAGAGAGGTGACTGATTCTGGAGGATGGAGTGTTTCAGAAGGATGCCTCTCTGGGACAGGTGCACCTCCCAGCAGGGACAATGAACATTCCCCTCTTGTCCTCATGCAGCCTGGTTTAAGACACTGGTCTCTCACTGGCTCTTTGGGTCCACCCCACCCTTGTCAGTGACCAAGAAAAAGCCCAGTGCCTTGACCCTGCTTTCCCAGTTAATTTCTAACTAAGGAACCTCTTGTAACTAGAAGGTGCAAAACACAGACTTTGCATATCCGGGCACAGGTGACTCCCCAATGTCAGGCACAGGTGACTCCCCAATGTCAATCATTTGGGGTCTCTAGCTATTAGAAAAAATAACAACATCCACCCCACAGCTTGGAAAAGGCAAAAATTATGTCAAAAGGAAAAAAAAAATTCCACTCCCAAGAAAACAATCTCAAGAAACAGAAGGAGGAATAATTAAAGGAGAGATCGCCAATCCGGGGCAAATGTGTATATATATGTGTAAGAGGCACACACTTGTGAACCGACTAATTCTACTTTTCTGGCTTCAGGTAAGGCTATCTGTAGCTGTCTTCTCCGCCCACCTTCTCTTCCATTTTCTACTGGTTCTATTTGAAGGAGGTAGGAGAGGAAATGTAGACTTTAGACACTGGGGTTAGACCTGAATTTGAGTCACTTCTCTGCTGATTATGGCTTCATGATCTTTGGTAAGTCGGTCTTACTCTCTTTGAGCCTAAGCTTTCCTAATAAGAGGACTACTGATTTCTTCATCCATTCAATGAATATCAGTTATGAACCTATTATGTACCAGATGCTGGAAATGCAGCAATGGACAAGAGCATTTGCTGTGTGCTGGGTTCTGCCTTATAGACATTATCTTAGTTAATGCCTGTGACCAGATGTAGTCAGTTACTACCCACTGTAGTGCTTTTCAAACTATAGGTCACAACTCATTAGTGGGTCATGAAATCATTCCGTTTATGGATTATCCAGGATTTCTTTCTAATTAAATAGAATAGAATGTGTCCACATGCAACGCCCAGTAAGAATAAATATTGTTTTATAAAATGTTTATTTTATGTGTGTGTGTGTGCGCACAACGGCATTGGATCATGACATAACATAATTTTCTTACTGTACACCATTCTCACAAAGGTCTGGAAAACATTACTGCAGAACACAAGTTCCTTGAGCACAGGAACATTTTTGAAGTGAGCCAGGCATATCACAAATACTCAATTTGTGGAAGCAATGATTCCTGTTTCACAGATGAGAGAACATAGTCTTAGTGAACTGAAATACTTGCTCAAAATCACAGGTTAGTGATTAGCAAACAGGGATTTGAATCCCATTTGTGGGCTCCAGCTCCCACACACCTCACCGCCATGCTATCCAATTTTGCTGCTGTGAACACTAGCATCCAACTGGGATTATTTTGCCAATTGAGTAAAATAATAAGTGGTCACTCTAAAACATTAAATGCATTGTGCAGGTTAATCACCACTTGAGTTGCTTTCTCAAGCCACTTCTTTACAATGTGTGTGTGTGAGTTGCATGAAGGCATAGATTTTACTGCGCTCATTGTTCTTCTTGGTGACTAGCTCTGTGTTTAGCACATAGAAGCTCCTTGATATATGTTTGTTGAATGAATAAATGCATCTGGGAAAATTGACAGTTTCCAGGAAGAGGATCAAGAGCTGGTTGTCAAAATCCAAAGCTGCCTTCGTTACTGTGGTGAGTAGAACACTACCTCATCTTGCTATTTCCTGCTCTGAATGAAAGACTCAGTTATTCGAAATGTGCAATGAGCTAAGAGTTGGGGAGCCAACACTGGGTGTGAATGAGGTAAAGTTGGGGATACAGAAGGAAAACTGCAAAGCCAGGGCTGTAGTCCTGCACAATTTGTGTAGTCCATATAAATGGAGCCTCCTGGAGTTGGCAGTATACAACCAAAGCTCACCACCCAGCTGTGGGAAGGGGAGGCAGGTCATGCATTTGTCCCATGTCTCTGTGTTCACAGGACTTCGGGCATCAGAGCCAGAGAGGAAAACTCAAGAGGCCAACTGATTCTTGCCTTTGGTATGTATTTCAGGACCAGAAGCAGCTGTGAAGAGCAGAAAGGATGGGACAGCCCTTCACTCTGACTTGGATGCTGATGATGGTGGTGGTCTCTTTGTTCATCACAGCTGCAGCCGCTGATATCTTGGAAGCAAGTAAATGAGAAGGGCTTGTGTGCGTGTGTGTGTGTGTGTGTGTGTGTGTGTGTGTGTGTATAATACTGCCCTTTGTATAGATGTTCTCAATCCCTTTATCACATGTGGAGTTTGCATAATCTTTATTCTAAGTCCATTTCTTGACTTTAATGTGCACAGAACTCACTTGGAGAAATGCAAGTGAGTTCAGTAGGTCTGAAGTGGGGCCTGAGACTGTGAATTCCTAACAAGCTCCCAGGTGATTGATACTTATGTCATGGTTCCTGGATCATATGTTGACAGGCAAGGGGCTAGAACACCTCTAAGGTCTGCAGGCCCTTAACTGAAAGGTCAGAAGCGCAGCCCATCACATAGGCAATTTGAACACCCAGGTGGCTCCAAACACCTTCCTTGCCAACCAGAAAAGGCCATTCCACTGGGTTGAGCTTTGCCCTCACCCCACCATCAGCTTCTCCCTAGAGTACTGAGGGACACATTAAATACTATTGTTCACATAACATCAATAAGGTACCTGAACTCAAACCAGGCAAAGTGGGGGTCATAGGAAGGCCCAAACTTACTTTACCTGTATGATGACCACTCGTATACCTAATCCTGAATTGTACCCCACATCTTTGAAATATAATTTTTAAAATACTATTGTAGCATCCTGGTTAAAAGCACACACACTGTGATCCTGCTATCTGGGTTTGTGTGCTGGCTGTGCTGCTTACCAGTGAAACAAGTAGCTTAATCCTTCTGAACCTCGGTTTCTTCATCTTTAAACTAAAGGGAGGAAAAATGTTCTCATGAGGCCACTGGGAAGAATTCAACAAGATAATATATGATTAGTGTGTGTGCTATTGCCTGGAATATAGTAAGTGCTTAATAAACAACAGTTCATTTTTTTAACTGTTATTTTTGTTATGGAGGAACAAAACTGCCCTACCAGGTGGAATTGGGTAATCTTCTAAGAGGAGGTCACACTGAGTAGTATCTTGATAAAGGTTCACCAGACAGGGAAAGGCGATTGGGCAGAAGGCATAAATATACAAAGGCAGGGAAAGGCAGCTGGCTCACTGTAAATCCTACCAAAGTAGAAATTCTGTGCATTATTCCCCTGGATATGGGGACGTGGATACATATTTTTTAAAGACACAGCTTGATGGCAATGCTTGCAAAGAAGAATGTACGGTAGAGTCAGGCTTAGTGGCTTGCACCTGAAGTCCCAGCTACTCGGGAGGCTGAGGTGGGAGCGTTGCTTGAACCCAGGAGTTGGGAGGCTGCAGTGATCTAGGGTCGCGCTCCAATCTGGGCCAACGTCATCAGGGAGTTTTGCTCATTTAGAAGGAAATTGGCTAGGGAATGTCTTGAAGAACATGGGATTCCTGGAGGGCGTGGGAGGAGTCTCTGGGTGGCGATGGGTCCAGTTGTCCACACGCAGGCCGGCGGGCTCTTCTGTTCGCAGGAAGATGCTCGGAATGCCACAGCAATGCCACCTGCATGGAGGACGGGGCCGTCACGACGTGCTCCTGCAAGCCGGGCTTCGCCGGCGACGGCCTGGTGTGCGTGGACCTAGACGAGTGCGCCACCCCATCGGAGCACAACTGCTCCTCCAACAGCAGCTGCGTGAACACGCCGGGCTCCTACACGTGCGTCTGCCTCGAGGGCTTCCGCCTGACGCCCGAGCTCGGCTGCACGGACGTGGACGAGTGCGCCGAGCCCGAGTTTAGCCACTGCCACGCCCTGGCCACCTGTGTCAACGTGGAGGGCAGCTACTCATGCGTGTGCCCCACAGGCTACTGGGGAGACGGCCGGCACTGCCAGTGCTCTCCAGGCTCCTGCGCGCCGGGGCTGGACTGCGTGCGCGAGGGCGACGCGCTCGCGTGCGCGGATCCGTGCGAGGCGCACCGCACCCTGGATGAGTACCGGCGCAGCACCCAGTACGGGGCGGGTTACGCCTGCGACACGGGCCTGAGCGGCTGGTACCGCTTCGTGGGCCAGGGCGGCGTGCGCATGGCCGAGACCTGCGTGCCGGTCCTGCGCTGCAATACGGCCGCGCCCATGTGGCTCAACGGCACGCACCCGTCCAGAGAAGACGGTATCGTGAGCCTCACGGCCTGCGCGCACTGGAGCGGCCACTGCTGCTTGTGGGACGCGCCCGTCCAGGTGAAGGCCTGTGCTGGCGGCTACTACGTCTACAACCTGACAGCGCCCCCGCAGTGTCATCTGGCGTACTGCACGGGTGAGCCAGGCGCACTCCCTCCCCTAACCCCAGGCCCAGATAGGCCCCGGGGGACTGGGGCGCATCCTTGTTCACTGTCTATCCCTGTGACCCTGCAGACCCCAGCTCCGTGGAGGGGACGTGTGAGAAGTGCAGTATAGTCGAGGACTGCAAATCAGATAATGGCAGGTGGCACTGCCAATGCAAACAGAACTTCAACATCACAGGTGAGGCCAGTGGAGAGAAGGGTAGTTGTTGAGAAACCTGACAGCAACTGTGAGGTGGGGGCCCAGTGAGCATGTCCCAGGGAATACATATCTTATCTGAGTCAAAAGGGAAGGTCCACTCATACCTGTTTAAACTGGCAAAAGACTCTCCTGGACTCCCTCCAGTCACCCCTTACTTGACCTCAAAACTCTGGGAGTTCGCTCTCTCGCTCTCTCTCCCCCCCCTTCCCTCCTCCCTCCCCCCACTCTCTGTCGACTTTGGGAACCTTCTCATGCCCAGCCTTCTTTCTGAGACCCCACACAGTGGGCAATGGACACACAGGTTGCTGCCATCTGGTAGCCAAAGGCCACCTGAGCCGTATTCCTGCAGTACCAGAACACAGGCCAGTGTCCAGTCCACTGATCATCTTAGGACCTGGTCAAGGCACTGGACTGCCTGAGCCTCCGGCTCCTCATATATACACTTTTATTCAAGATGGCTTTTCCAGACTTCAGTCCTAGTTTTCATCACATCCAAGTGTCAATTTTACTTTATCCAAGTACTACCTATACTGTGACTTTTATTATTAACTTCTCCTTCTTCATATTGACAATCTCTTCTTTTTAAAAGCAAATTTGGGACATTGATGTTTACAACTGATGGTCTGCAGGAAGGAACAATTACCTTAAACAGAAGGCTAACTGTAGAAATAAATACAATGAAAAGAAAGTCATTACATTCCAGCAGCTGTGTGATACTTCAATTAAAAATTTAAAAAAAAATAAATACTAAAAATAAACAATTATAAGCATTCAATTTAAAAATTAAAGAAAAAATTCTAACTGGATGCTGTTTCCTGCCCCAAACTCTGAGTCTGGGGCCTGCTGTCTGTTTAAGAGGGAATATAGTAAGTATATGACATAACAGACACAAGCAGCAAGCTAGGATTATCTCCTTAATGTGGAAAGAATGGAAAGACATTGCAGTTAACTCTTCTTGTTCTTCTTCTTTTTTCCCCCTTTTCTTTAAATTTTTTTAACTGAGTTTCAATGTTATTTTATTTAATGCCAGGATAGTGAAAGACCCTCAAACCTTCCTGTATTTTGTATACAACCCACTCTTAGGAGAACTTGGAGCGTGTTGATTGGCCGCTGGATACATCCAGTGATGCTAGAAATTCAATTTTGTGTCCTTATCACTCCAAGAGGGAGGGGAGTACAATCAGCCCAAGGCTATTCTGAGCACCCTCAGGTAGTGCCCAGGCCAGCTACTTTGGGCTGGCCCCTGGGAACACGCCGGAACACTGAGATACAGACACAAGCCCCCAATCCTGCCCTCCCTGACCATTTCAGATTTCTCCCACCTGGAGCGCAGGCTAGAGTGCGGGACCAATGACATGAAATTGTCCCTGGACAAATGCCAGCTGAAGAGTTTGGGCTTCGAGAAGGTCTTAATGTACCTGCGTGACAGCCAGTGCTCGGGCTTCAATGAGAGGGGCGACCGGGATTGGATGTCTGTAGTGACCCCAGCCCGAGCTGGGTCCTGTGGGACAATGATGATGGTATGTCCTGGCCAGAGAAAGACAGTCAGAGCACTGCCTAGTTCAAGTCCCAGTTCCATTACTTACTAGTTGTATTAGCTTGGGTGAGTTATTTCGCCTGGCTGTGCCTCAGTTTTCTCAACTGTAAAATGAATAAATGTTAGTATCTGCTCCATAAGGAGGTTGAGGGGATTGAATTAGTTAATGTATTAAAGCGATTCCAATAGTGATTGACACATAGCAAACACTCAATAAATGTCAACTTCAAATAAAGAGGGCAATTTGTGGTGGTGGTTCCCCATTTTACAACTGGGATCAGACAGCAGTGATTGTCCCAGCCAGTGAATGTCAGCACTAGGTTCAGAAATAGGCCTGTTTATCTACACTGGTCCTGGGAGACAGAGTCTGGATCACTGATTTTCAGAGAACTAGGGACTTGCCTAGAGAGGCCTCCTCAAGTGAAACCTGGTGGTAAATGTGGGTGTGAGTGGAGTGTCTCTCATCCCCCAAAAGAAAAAGAAAACAAAAGAAACAAAGAAATTAGTCAATTAATTGTCTATTTGCTAAGGACGGCATTTAAAATTCCATGAATGATGACTTGGATATGGTCTTTAGCCTTTGAGAGAGCAAGCATGCGGTATTGAAAAAAGCCCAGGTTTGTTAGACCACACGTACTATGGGACTTAGTGTCTCAGTTACTATGACCCTCTGTCTCTTCATCCAGGAAGCAGGGATGTGGCAGTCCTGCTTCTTAGGGTCATTGAAGGGACAAATGCAATGATGCAGGAGTAGTGTTCAGCTCAGGGTCTGACATGCGACATGTGCTGACAAATGTTAGTTCCTGTAGTTTTTTATCACAGAGACTGGGAAGACAGCTTGCAGGTGGTCAGAAAAAAATTGCTTTGGCTTTGAAGTCCTGCTCAGATTCTCATACCCCTTTCTCCTGCTCCCACCCCCAAAACAGAGAAATGAAACCCATGCCACCTACAGCAACACCCTCTACCTGGCAGATGAGATCATCATTCGTGACCGCAGCATCACAATCAGCTTTGCATGCTCCTACCCCCTGGACATGAAAGTCAGCCTGAAGACCTCCCTGCAGCCAATGGTCAGGTGCGGCCAGAGAGGGTCCCCGGGGCTCCTAGCCAGTTCCACCCCACAACCCTTTAGCTATGAGGCCGTCAGCTTCTCTGTCAGCCACCCATAGGGAGCTGGGAATGGGGCTGGGAGTCAGGGTTGCCCAGTGGAAGAACCCAACTCAGAATCCTGGAGAAAAGATTCAAATCCAGACTTGGCCACATAATCATGGGTAAGTTTCAAAGAGAATATCATGGAACAAGGGACACTCTGGGCCTGATGTTTGAATCCCAGCTCTACCACTTACTAGACTTTACAACTTTGGGCAAGTTACTCAAACTTCTATGTGCCTCAATTTCCACATCAGTGTAATGAGAATCATCATTATAACAACTGCATCTCCCAGGGCTCTTGAGAGTTCCAGTAGATGTTCCAGATAGAGCACAGGACACGATGCCTGACAATGCTCTCGATAAATGTTAGTTCTTATGGCAACTATTGTTTTTTCCAGTATCAGCTTTATTGGCCTGTGATTCATCATATTCAAAAATTTTCAACTTTATTTAGCAAAAAAATCCCTTTTTAAAAAATAATAAAACCTCATGTGACACCCACTATGAGGGAAACTTCTCTGGTTCACCTCTGCCAGCACCCTGCCAACGCACCTTCCTTGCCCCCGCCCCAAGACACTTCCAAAGAGCATAATTTTAAATGCCACTTTGATCAAATTCTTTCCATCTACAGAGAAGGAAGGAAACTGAGGTCCAAATATGGGATATGACTTGATCAGGGTCCCATAGCAGGGCTGGACTGAGACCCCTCCTTCTCTCTGGTCCAAGCGCCTGCCCCTCTGAAAAGCTAGAGGCTCTAATATTTGATTCACATCTGCAGAGTACTGTTGAATTCTAAGAAAGACAGTGCATGTATTACTAGCCCCATTTCACAGATGAAGATATTGCAGAGTACTCCTCATGTTCCTTATTTCATGCAGAATCATCTTACGGCATCCTTTGTGGGATCATCCAGAGAAGCCCACATCAGTGTGGCTATTTTCAACGTGCTTAAAAATAACCCATTTAGGGCTTCTGCACTAGACTGCGGTCCAGTCTCTGTCTCTCTCTCTCTCTCTCTCTCTCTCTCTCTTTCTATCTCTTTCTCTTTCTTCTTCCCCCCAGTCGCCGATGCTGTCTCCGCCTTTGGGGACCCTGAACCCGGCTGGAGCTGGTCTCCGGCAAAGAAAAAAAAAAGAAAAAAGAACCCATTTATAAAGCCCAATCTTCTGATGCAGGTATCAGTACATCATGAAAGAGACCAGGACTCAGGTCTGCAGGACTCATAATAGCTCATCCCTTTTAATCTGTTCTTGGTTGAGACCAAAGCAGGAATTTAGGTGATTCCCTCAAGTATTGCTTCATTGTGAAGGCTATGGAGTAGCACAGGCCACCAAGTGAGGGACTGGACATGTTATGAGATGTGATTCATTCATCAGCAGTCTCAGAAGCATGCAGGAGCTTGCTGGAAATGCAGAACCTTGAATCCCACCCACTGAATCAGAACTTGTATTTCCACAAGTTCCCAAGGTGACCTGTGTGCACTCATTGCAGTTTGTAAAGCCACGATTGTTTGGGTTCCAGTCCTGCTGGATAAAAACACAAATAACTGCAAGGGAGGGCACAGGAAGGCTGACTAGAAAAGGTGTCTTCTCTGTGAATGTTCTCAGCCCGATCCTATCACCAGTCCCTCTCCCCCTCAGCGTCCTGAACATCAGTGTGGGTGGAACAGGCATGTTCACTGTGCGGATGGCACTCTTCCAGAGCCCTGCCTACACGCAGCCCTACCAAGGCACCTCCGTGACGCTGTCCACCGAGGCCTTTCTCTACGTGGGCACCATGCTGGATGGGGGTGACGTATCTCAGTTTGCACTGCTCATGACCAACTGCTATGCCACACCCAGTGGCAATGCCACAGACCCCCTGAAGTACTTCATCATCCAGGACAGGTGAGCCAAAGGTTTCTACAAGGGGGCCCATGGGTGGAATCAGGGTGGCTCTTTGGACATGGATAGGAGTAGATTACATTTTTATATGTATTACCCTCTAGCTAGTACTTAGCTTCCCCTTCCATTATGAATATAGGCAACAGGCCACAATAGTGTTAGCAGGACACTTGAAGCTATTTACACTCATCAGTACTTTTATTACTATAGTACTAAAATTTTCACTAGCCCTTGTTATTTAATGCATTAGTAAATAGTTTTGTATGATATATATATCCAAATGTGTAATGCATATAAGGGAACTTCAGAAAGTTTATGAGTTTTATCTTAAAAGATAAAAACAAAAAATGCAAATTTTATTTCTCAACATAAGCTCCAACAACGTCAAGACACTTTTGTAAGCAATGATACCAGCCATTTAGTGTCCATCCCTAAATAACGGAGAGTCCTGGGAATCTAACCTTGTCAACACAACCTTTTTACATCATTTACGAAGAAAAATTAATGCCCTATACAGATTTTTTTAAGATTAAGAAATGAAAAGAAATCAGGAGCCAAATCTGAACCGTAAGTGGATGCCTAATGATTTCCCATCAAAACCCTTATAAAATTGTCTGCTTGCAAGAGGAATGAGCAGGAGCCCTGTCATGGAGGAAGAGGCTGCTCTGAGACGCTCTCCCTGGCATTTGTCTACTAAAGCCTTGGCTAACTTTCTCAAAACACTCTCATAATAAGCAGATGTTAGGGATCGTTGTCCTTCCAGAAAGCTAACATGCAAAATGTCTTGAACACCCCACAGAAACTATTGTCATGACCTTTGCTCTGGACTAGTCTGCTTTTGCTCTGACTGGACCACTTCCACTACTTAATATCCATCACTTTGATTGGGCTTTGTCTTCAGGATCATACTGGCAAAGCCATATTTTATCTACTATTACAGTTCTTAGAAGAAATGCTTCAGGATTCTTATCCCACTTGTTTAAAATTTCTGCTGAAAGCTCTGCTTTCATCTGTAGCCGATCTGGGCACCCATTAAATGGAAAGTTTGCTTAACCTTAATTTTCCAGTCAGAGTTGTATAATCTGAACCAATTGAAGTGTCTATGATTTTTGCTATTGTCTGTGCTGTTAATCGTCTGTCCTCTTTAATCAGAACATGAGCAAGATTAATTTTTTCCTTGCAAATTGATATGGGTGGTCTGATGCTGCAGGCTTCATCTTCAATGTTGTCTTGTCCCTTCATAAAATGAGTTATCCATTTGTAAACTGCTGATTTCCTTGGGGCATTGTTCCCATAAGCTTTTTGTAAAACACCAGTCATTTCAGCACTCTTTCTTTTTTATTTTTTCTTTTAATTTTTTTATTTGAAAGATGTGGGATACAATTCAGGGTTAGGTATACAAATGTTCATTATGCAGGTACCCTTGTTGATGAGGTGTGCCCTCCCCTCCCCCAGCAGATTCCCACTGCTACCAATCCCGCATTCTCCTCCCTGTCCCCCACCACCAGTGGCAGTTTCCTGATACTGCCAATCTTTTTCTTATAGTGTTATGATAATTGTTCAAGATCTGCTTATGAGTGAGAACATGTGATACTCAGTTACTTGTTTCTATGATAGATGGCTTGGTGTTATAGACTCTAAGTCTATTCAGGTTGCTGTGAAGTTCATGATTTTGTCCTCTTTATGGCTGTGTAATATTCCATCATGTATATATACCACATTTTTTAAATCCAGTCCTCTTTTGATGAGCAGCACGGTCGGTTCTATGTTTTTGCTACTGTGAACAATTCAGCATTCTTTCACCCACGCTTCACCATAAGTTTGATGTTTGTTCTTGCTTCAATTTTTGCAGAATTCATGTTGCTTTTCAAACTGATGTCTTACCTTTTTTAGTGCCTCAAACTAGATCCTGTTCAGTTTTGTGAACTTTTTGAAGATCTCTCATGTATCAAATGTTTTAATGTTTTTAAGAACTGTGCTTCAATTTAATTGGTCTCCTTTATAATATTTTAAGTATTTTATTATATGCATTTAAGAACATTGTATTTGAGAAGGGGTGCATAAGCTTCATCAGAGGACTGAGGGGGGCCATGATTCAGAAAATGGTAAGAAACCCGATCAAAAGCCATATCCAAGGCGCCAGGCAGCCTGGAACCTGGCATGGAGAAGTGAAGCATCCAAGGATTCTTCTAGAAGAGCATTTTATTTCAGTAGAAAGTGTAAGTGGATTCAAAGAAAAATCATAAGTAAATAATAATACAGATGTTGGGACACACAGGAAAACATTCATGAAAGTAGTATTTCAATAAGGAAAAAAAAAAGAACTGAAATTTGGAAACTGCTGACATGACTTAGATCTCAGAGATTTGGGTTCAGATCTTGGTTTTGCTATTTCTTAGTTCTGAGACACAGATCAGCTCCTCTTTCTGAATATTCATTTTCTCAGACATTAACGGGGGGAGGAATGGGATTTTTAAACTTGTTTTTCCTGAGTATAAAAGTACAGCAGGTGCATTGTGAAAAACTTGGAAACTTCTGATAAATAGGCAGGGAGAAATGTGTCATGCACCTGTGTATTTCTGTCTGAGTGTATATGGGAGCTGGCTTGAGAACCACCCACCAGTCTAGAAAAGGTTTCAGAACGTCACAAGACATGAAAAGAGGAGACATGTCAGAGGGACAGGGAAAATGACTAGAGGGGATGCTTGGATGCCTGGCTTGGGTAGAGTGTATGGAGCCATCATGGATCATACTCTCTGCTCTTCAAGAGATGGGTCCATGTAACCACAGGGCTTTTATCTTACCAAATGGAGTTGGAGTTTTGAAGTCTGTGGGGGACACAGAGCCAAGAGTGAAAGCCACCCCCAGAAGTTCCTTTCACAGTTCTCACAGTCAGCATTCAGCCTCTCGTCTACATCAACTTTGAGCAAATAGTACAAAATAGCGGGCGGGATGGGTGAGGTGCCATTTGCCTGCCTGCCCAGGCACTTGTGTATCCTGACCCAGGATCTCTGAGTGTGCTGCTTTGGGTTTATCCTTGTAAGTGTGTTTGGATGCAATTGTGTATGTGCGCAGACAGGTGCACACACGTCAATTTCATTAGTCCTCAGTGCTCACAGGTTTCCTTTGTTATAATTATAGCAGGTACATAGTAGATAGCACATTGTAGCTAATGATTCTTGAATGCTATTTCCCGGGAAGTCAGAAAGTGCTGACTTTTGCCTTAGTTTCAACTCTGAGCTGATGACATTTTTACTTTAACATTAAATATATATAGCATCTGTGGAATGCCACGTACTGTTCTAAGCATTTTGAGAAACTAACTCATTTAATCCTCACAACTATCCTATGACATGGGCTACAATTATTATTCCTTGTGTGCTGTTGAAAAAATTGTGACACAGAGCAATTAAGCCCAAGGTCACACAGCTAACAGATGGCGGAATGATATTCGAACCCACGCAGTCTGGCTCCAGAGTCTGTTTAACCAACCTACTTATATGATGTGTGACCCTCCCAGATGCCCACACACTGTGGACTCAACCATCCAAGTGGTGGAGAACGGGGAGTCCCCTCAAGGCCGATTTTCCGTCCAGATGTTCCGGTTTGCTGGAAACTACGACCTGGTCTACCTGCACTGTGAGGTGTATCTCTGTGACACCATGAATGAAAAGTGCAAGCCTGTGAGTTGCCTCCCTTCCTCCAGCCCCCCTCCCATAACCAAAGACATTTAGCCACAAGGCTCAAAAGAAAAATCAACATTTCTGCTGTACTTCTCTCCTTTAGCACAGGGACAGAATGAGAGGTTAGATGAGGTGGGCGTGGCCAGGCAGGAAACCTAAGCTGCTGGGAAACCAGATGGTGTCAGTGAAATGCAGCAGGCTGGTGAAAGCTCTGGCTTATCTGCAAGCTTGTGTTGAAATAACAGGAGCTGGCAGTCTAAAGCTCTGTGTTTACTTTGTGTGTGTGAATGTTTAATGCTTTACAGCTACTCTATAAGAGAGATAGTTCTAAATGGGGAGGGGGGCTCAGATAACTTGAGTGGCTTGTCTGAGATCTACCTAGCAGATGATACAGCTGGGACATGAACCTGGGTATACAGACCTGACAACTCCTGCCTGAGGCAGGAGGATGCTCCTAGGAGGTGTTTAGCCCGTGCCACATGGCAGGACCACATTCAGTCTCCCTCATAGAAGGTTTTCTCTGTCACCCTGTCCCTATAGACTTGTTCCGGGGCCAGATTCCGAAGTGGGGGTGTCATAGATCAATCCCATGTCCTGAACTTGGGTCCCATCACACGGAAAGGTAAGAGAGCCACTCCCTCCTCGACATTCCTGACTGGGAATGATCTCTGGAGAGGAAGGGGGATGGCAGAGCCTGGCACCTTGGGATCTTCCTGGGATCAGAAGAACTGAAAGTGTGTAGATCCTCTGGGGCAAGGTGGAATATAAGTTGCCTTCCTTTACCAGTTCCTGTTCATTCATTCATTCACTCATTGCACAAATATGTTTTTGTGCCTACTGTGTGCCTGGGGATCTTGTAATGAGCAGAAACAACATAGTCCTGCTCACGTGGAGTTTAGTGGGGGGGAACGTTGTCCAAGTAATCCCACTTGGATGTGTATAACTGCAGTTGTCCTAAGTGCAATGAAGAAAATGTATAAGGAGCTCCGATCCCTTATAACAAGGGAGCCAGACCCAGTCTAGGAGACTGGGGAAGAATGTGGGCTGGGATTTGGAAATCAAGGGGGCCACTATCTAAGAGGGATGAGGGATGAGGGAAGAGGGAGGGAGAGGGGATCTCAGGCTTGAGCAAAGGGCCTGTGGCAAGAGGGAGCCCAACCTGGACTCAGAGAAGGCCAAGCAGGCTGGTAACAGGAAGAGAGCCTTGTGGGGTGAGGGGAAGCAGGTGGGGCCAGACTATGGGGCCTTATAGTTCATGCTAAGGTTTGGGCCTTTATCGTAAAAGCAGTGGGAAGCTACCGAAGGACCCGATGTGATCAGGTTTGGATTTCAAAAGAATCACTTTTGAAAGACACAAGGAGAAGACCAGCTTAAGGACTCCTCTCAGGCCACCTGCCAGCCCCATGTTTTCTCTTTTCACTGACCTTTCTCTTTCCCCCCCAAAGGTGTCCAGGCCACGGTCTCGAGGGCTGCTTCCAGCAGCTTGGGTAAGTGCAGGGCCTCTCTGCAGGGCGCCCTGCTCTAGATCCTTCCTCAGGGGCTTCTATCTGTGGGCTCCAGGGTGTGCTGAAGGGACTGGCTTGCTTGGTCTGAGCTATGAAGAGGTGACTGTATCTATGGAATCGCCTAGACCTGGGGCTGCACACATGCACATGTCTTTGTGCTGTCTCATGGTGCTGCATGCGTGTACATGGACACAGGCATGCCCAGACAGGCACATGGGAATGTAGGTCACCCAGACACATTTGCCCACCCACTTAAGTTCACATGCATACATTCATGTTTACACACAAATGCACAGACACCTGCACTTGCATGCATGCTTACTTGAGGTGCAGACACACACACACTTGTCACATACTCTGTACCAAAGGACATGCACACACTACAGATCTGCAACCTGGGCACCTCCTGAGACTCCACAGCTCATCTCTAAAACCTTTTTCAAGATTCATTCAACAGGTGACAAATATTTGTTGAGCACTACGCATGCCAAGAGCCATGCTTGGTGCTGGGGTGAGCATGACAAACAAGAAACCTTTCTTCTATGCTTCTTTGTTCTTCTGACCACAAAGGCCAGGGACGTGGCATTTTTATGCCCCCTGATTTTCATGGCTACTGAAGTGTCTGAACATTGAAGTAAAAGCAAATCTGTGCAACAATTGCCCTTCTTGGCTCCTGGCACCTGAATCCCAGGGGACTATTATACTCACCTGGTGTTGGACCTGAGCAAGTTCAGCCCAGTACTGGTGAGCTCGGAGCTGGGGAGTCAGGGCGTTCCAAGAGGCCTGTCCTCTGTGACTATCCCACAGGGTCTCTAAGGGTGAATGAGTAGGTTGGACACTGCATTAGGAGTGTCCTATTCAGAGGGAGTACCAATTCTGGTGCCAGAGGAAAGACTGCCTCTTTCCAATTGGCCTACCTGGGAGGGCACCTTTTTCTATTTTTTCACTAAGAGTAGGCACCTTTTCTCTAACTGGTCTTCGGGGCAGATACAAAGGAAGCATCCTTTTTCTAACAAATCAGCCCAGGGAGGGCATCTTTTTCTAATTGGTCGGTCTAAAGGAGGCATCTTATGCCAGTTTGCACAAAAGCACATGAGTCCTAGCAGCGGCCCTATCATTGTTGTTTGTTTGTTTGTTTTCAGGGCTCCTGAAAGTCTGGCTGCCTCTGCTTCTCTGGGCCACCTTAACCCTGACATTTCAGTGATCGATGGTAGGAAACCCTGTGCTTTCTGACCACCGGCTCACTTCCTGTCGGCCGTGGGGGGTGATGCAGGCCAGTGGTCCAGCCACAGCAAAGAGGGCTCACACTCCAGTCAGCCTGCTCTTCTTTTGTCCCCTTTCATCCTCGCTGACAAAAAGACTCAGCCTGTGTCTTTAGATGCTGCTTTCTCTTTAAATGGGACTTGTGATGTGTCTGTGCGTGCTGCCTGCCCCTGTTTCTTTAAAGAGTGTGGCAAAATAATAATTTTAAAACCTCAGTCTGTGAAGCCATTCATTCATTCAATAAGCATTTACTGAGCTCTATGATGTAGGTACGATGTGTGGTGCTGAGGCTTTCATGGTGGGAAAAAAACAGCCCCCAGCCCTGTCCTCATGGAGTTCACAGTCTGCTCAGAGAGACCACGTTCCATCCAGATTCTGCTTTGTAACCTTAGATGAGATACACACTGTCTCTGAGTCTTGTGCGCTCATTCATTTATCCATCCATTCACTCATTTACTCCTATAAGAAATATTTGCTGAGCACCTGCTATGTGCCAGGTACTATGTGCTAGAAGCCAGGATAAAGAATGAATAAATCAGACACAATCCCTGCCTCCCTCCCCCCCTCCAAGCTTCCTATCTGGTAGGAGAAAGAACTTGAACAAATAATTCCAAGTAGTTTAGGCATTTCAGAATGGGAGAGTATCACAGGGAACTGTGGCTTCTGTACAACAGAGACGATGATGCCCTTATAGGGTTCATTCCATTTTCCAGGAATATTTATTTGAGCATTTGTTGATGCCAGGTGTTGTGCTAGGTGCTGGGGAAACACTGTGAGTAAGACAGGCAACCAGGTGCGGTGGCTGATGCCTGTAATCTCAGCACTTTAGGAGGCAGAGGTGAGAGGATTGGCTGAGTCCAGCAGGTCTGAGCTGCGGTAGCCATGTGTGTGACACTACACACCATCCTGGGCAACAGAATGAGACTGCAACTCAAAATAAGACAACACAGTCCCAGCCTCCTGAAGTCTAGCAGTCCTTAGTGAAGACAAGGCAATGTCAGGCTCCTAGCACATCCTCAGGGTTCCCTCCACTCATTGGACATCTCCCTCCCAATCCAGCAGTGGAAAGCAGACCCATAACCCTCACTGGCAGGGGAGGCCTTGCGGGGGATGGAGGGACTCCAAGATGCACAACCAGAAGCCAAGGGGCGGCTGGCTCCAGGAGACCCAGATATTCCAAGAGTGTCTGGACCTCTGTGCCAAGTGGACAGAAGGAAGTCTGTGCCAATGGGAACTCCCTACCTAACACCAGCTGCTTTCCTGGTCTCCATCTGTGGCTTTCCGGGAGAGGCCAAGGCCCTGTTGTGTTATAAGAGAAGGCTGATCCCAGGGAAAACCACACATGTGTATCAGTAAACGGGGGCTGCTGGGACAGCATGTCTTAAGGGGACGCTTACCACATGCCGACCTGCACCGAAAGTGCCTGCCCGTTGCCTTTCCATAAGAGCTTTGTGTAGGAGGATCTCAGGCTGATCCTGGCCCCATCCACAGTCAGGCCACGGTCAGCTGGCCCTGACTGACTGCTGCAGATTCATCTATACTTTGACTCAGGCACAATAGGACACGAAGGAGAAATCTGGGCCAGCAAAAATAAAAACAAGGGCCAAAGACAAGAGCTGGGGAGGAGAGAACACATCAGAATGAATTCATTTGTCCTTGGTTCCTTTTCTTCTCCTGTCTTGTTTTCTATCAATTATTCAGCCCAATATATTCAACAGATATTTTGAGCATAAATTCAATGCCAGGCAATTTTATAGGTACCATGGAAACAGAAAATAATCAAAACAGCCTTTGATGGTAGAAAGCTCACATTTAAGAGGGGAATACATTTAAACAATAGCTATGTCAGATATTGATAAGTTCTGTGGAGGGAAAAAAATAAGGACAGAGGGATAGAGCAATACAGATGTTATTTTATGTAAGATGATCAGGGAAAGTCTCTCTCTGGTAAGCAGAGGCTTTGAGAAGGAAAGGAGTGAACTGGGAGACATCTGGAGAAGGACATTACAGGCGGTGGGAATAGCAAGTACAGAGGCCCTGGGGCAGGATCCCGTGTCTTCCCACCAAGGTTGACTAACATGTGGGCAGCCATAAGTTTGAAGCCTTCCTCACTGGAGAGGATCTAGAGCATGCACATTGTGATTTTGTCCATTTGTTCACTCAACAAGTACTTACTAGATGCTGATTAGAACTGCGGAGACAGGATCCCTGTCCACAAAGATCTTAACAGGCTTCAGAGGGAGACAGGTAAGATGGCAGGAGAATATGATTGAATTCAGTCCCAACAGGAGCAGAAAAGAGGAGCACCAACCAGCCTGTGGTGTTGGAAAAGGCTTCCTGGAAGAGGTGATATGTAGGAGGAGGCTGGGTGTAGAGTGATCCAGGCTGAAGAAATATGGTATGCAAAGGTTTGGAGATGGGGAAGAGCTCAGACAACCACAGATTGGCTGAAGCACAGAATGTGGCAAAGAAGTTGTAGGGGGAGGTTGCAACTGTGCCCAGGGACAGATCCCAGGAAGCACAGAGTGCTGGGACTCGGGGGTGATGCTGAGATGGTGTGATGGGCCTCTGGCTGCAGGGAAGAAAGCAAGCAAAGGGGATAAGAATGAACAGGGAGACCCGTTAGGCCTCTGTTTAAATCACCCTCAGAAGAGATGGTGGCCTGAATTAAGACTGATGAAGTAGGGATGGAGAAGAAAAGATAGACTCAAGAAATATTTGAAGCCCTGAAAGTCAAGATTTGATGAGTGTTGGAAATGAGGACTAAGGGAGAAAAGAAGGAGCTTAGAAAGGAAGGTGCTTACTTGGATAACCAGGTGGGCAGTGGTGCCTTTGATCGAGGCAGATGATACAATAGGAGGAGGAGATTTAGGGGATTTGATGGGTTCAGATTTGGACCTGCTGAGTTTGAGGGTCCTCGGGCATCTCAGCCCAAGCAGAGCAGTGCAACAGGCAATAGGACAGGTGGATCTGAAGTTCAGGGGAGTAGTCCCAGTAGTAGCTGAGAATACAGGTGTGGAACTCACCAGCCTGTGGATGGGATTTGGAACCATGAGATAACTCGATACCTACCTGGGGGAATATATGGGTGACAAGAAAAGTGGAATCTGCCAGCATTCTTCAGGACAGCTGGGGGAAGACAACTCTATAGCAAAAGAGCAGGAATATCCAAGTTGGAGTAAGAGAATTAAGAAGATACTGATGTGGGACATCAAGGAAATGCAAGGCACCAGAGGAAGTCGCAAACAAACTCAGTCACAAGCCGGCAGAAGAAAATACCCAGTGGACTTGGCTATGAGATGACCTTGGAAGGGAAGTTTTAGCCACTTGGTTCAGATTGAAATGGAAGGGTCAGGAGAGGAATGGAGGAAATGACTTTGAAAAAGAGGATGATTGCCTCATCAGAAGTTGGCAAGGGAAGTTGGCAGTTGGAAGGTGAATGTGTGTGTGTGTTTGTGTGTGCATAATGAAGGAGGAAGGTCAGGTGTTGTGGCCTAAAATTTTTAAAGCATATATAATATACTTAAATTATATAGCAGGGTCTCACCTCTTCTCCCAGGGTGGAGCGCAGTGGTACTATCACAACTCACCACAACCTCAACCTCCTAGACTCAGGTGATCCTTCTGCTTTAGCCTTCTGAGTAGCTAGGACTAGGACAACAGGCACGTACAACCATGCCTGGCTCTTTGTGTGGTGTGTGTGTGTCTGTGTGTGTGTGCGTGGGTGTGTAGAAACGAAGTGTCACTATGCTGCCCAGGTTGGTGGCGAACTCCTGGGCTTAAGCCATCCTCCTCCCTTGACCTCCCAAAGTGCTGGGTTACAGGCATGAGCCACTGTACCTGGTCCTAAATTTTTTTGAAGTAGGATGCAAGATATCTGCTGAGAATGGTGGTGTGAGCGGGTGATGACAGCTGCAGAGACCATTGAAGAGGGTGGTGGAGGTTAAGAGTGGCCGCCGGGGAGGCTGGGATGAGCAGCTGGCCAGACTGAATGGATCAGAGGGCTGTTTTGTGAACCCAGCTGTCATAAGGTCCACATTTCAAAGACTTTTCTCTAACCACACTAAGGGTAGAGAAGGTGGCTTGCAGCATCTCTTCCTTGTCCAGAGTGAGGTTCTGCTATGCCAAGACCTCCATGCTCCCTTCTCCTAGCAGCCCTGGCTCCTTAAAGAGACTCAGAATAAGGACAAAAGGCAGTGGCCATTTGTTCTGCAAGCTTTGGCTCTTTTATTAAGCCCATGATCTTTCCCATGCCCAAAAGCCAAGTGTGAGCCTGGCGTTTAGGAACCCAAGATCTTCTGCAGTCTCTTCTCAATTCCATACCTTGCAATATCTAGGGCAGCCCACATAACAAAAGGGATTGGAGGAGGGGCTATTCTGATGCTTGCCCTGTTCAGGAGCCTTGCCTGTCATCTATCATTGCAAGATTCTCCATCACCAAATCTGCAACCCCTGAACTTCTCAGCATTCAATATCTGAAGTTGGGTGGGTTCTATGGGACAAGAATGGGAAATGCCCACTCTCCCTTCCTTATTTACTCTCTTACTCCAACTGGCCCCAAGCTGAGTGACCTCCAGATAGAAGCAGAAGTGTTCTAAAGTGATTAGCTAGGAACACAAGGTACAATTGAAAATCCATTGTGCAAATAAGTGCCTGTTTGATTTCTCTGCACTTCCCTTTGAGTATTAAGCTTCCTTTTGATTAGTGTTTGGTTTCTGGTAATAAATATGGCAGCAGCTTCCCCGGTTTATTATAAGGATTAAATGCAAGCAGTTATGGTGGCAAAGCACTCAGCAGTGCCCAGTGAATTCGGCATTCAGTACACATCACTATTGTTTATAGGGAAGCATTCCCATGACATTGAGACTGGTAAAAGAGTTTGCATTGGTGGGGGGGGAGGGCCCTTCTTTCACCTTCCTTTGCGTAAATTGCTTATCATACCTACATTCAACAAGACCTGTGTGTGCCTAGAACTCTAGCCATACCTGAGTGCCAACTGAGAAAAGCCACATGGGTGGGAAATTGCAATAAAAAGACAGCCCACAGTAGACTGCATTCCCATGGCTAGGCAGAGAGGAGGAATGCTCTGTGTTCTCACCCAAGGTAAGTCCTGCTCCAAGTCCCAGCAGGCCCTCTCCTCATCGCTGGGGTTCCCCCTTGGCCCAATAGACTTGCAAGGGTTGTTTCTGGAAACTTTCAGACACCGCAAGAACTCTGGACCCCAGGTATTGTCAAGTGCTCCAGATATCACTCTACGTCCAACTCTGTCATGCTTGCAGCCACCTGCTTGTGCTCCAAGCCTGATACCTCCCTCGCCCTTGCCTCAGACACCCCACCAGAGACATAGATCTCTACTTGGGAGGCTGTCTCCAGGAATGCTGTCCCTGCTGTCTCATAACAGATTCATGATATGTCTGTAAGAAACTGATCTCGCTTTTCTTTTTTTATTTTTCTGTCTCTTTTTTTTCTTTTTTTTTTTTTGAGTTGGGGTCTCACTCTGTTACCCAGGCTAGTTGGCAGTGGCATAATTATGGCTCACTTCAGCCTTGACCTCCTGGGCTCAGACAATCCTGCCTCAGCTTCCCCTCCCAAGTAGCTGGGAATACAGGTGTGTTCCACCATACCCAGCTAAAATTTTTATTTTTCATAGAGACAAAGTCTCACCCTGTTGCCCAGGGCTTGTCTCAGACTCCTGGGCTCAAGCAATTCTCTCTCCTCAACCTCTCAAAGTGCTGGAATTACAGGTGTGAACCACAATACCTGACACCAGTCGCTATTTTCAACTGAAGCTTTCCAGAGACTGTAAGAGTCATCCAAAAATTTGCTCATTCAGGGAAAGAGTTTCCCAGAGGAGTAAATGTCATCTGAGTGTTGGCAGGCTTTTTGCATCTCTTCTTTCTGCCCCCCTTCCCATTTATTTATTCATCCATTCCTTAAACCTCTAGTGGGCACCATTTGTACGCGAGAAGCAAGGGACATAGGGCTCAACATGACATAGCCCCACCCCCATGGAAATCTGCATACACAGAGGATGTTCAGTGGCTCTTAGCAGCACCTGGTGCATAAAACTCACGGGCACTATAATCTTCTTTCTCTATCCAATATCCAGAATACCACTGCCTCCGCCTAAGCAGGAACCATCCTTAGACCCTTCTAAGACACTCTAGAGTACTGGCCAGCTCTAAGTTTGCCTTTAGTTTGCTTACTGTCAATTTTTTCTTCTTGGCAATTCTCCTACTCCCATTAACCCACCCCACTTCTGTAAGTCACACCTGCTTTGAAGCAATGCAGCTCTACAGGAAGGAAGACAGCCGTTCTGTTTTTGAGAACATGGGCCCATGCCCTGATTTTATCTAGGTCTTTCCTTTCCCATAGCTGCATATAGAGTGGTATCTGCATACTGTGGAGAGACCTGCATACCTCACCTTGTGGAAAGGATGGCAGGCTCTGACCTCCTGTGGCTGGCCTTGGTGTCCTGCATTGTGACCCTGGCATCTACAGGGCAGCAAGGTGAGTGCTCTGCTCATCTGGCATCTCAGATGTCCAGCAAGACTAGGGAGTTAGTATGGAAGTGCTCAGATGGAGGTAGAGCCTCTGGAGATTGGATAAAGAAGGTAGTTCAGGTCACTGAGAGGAACTGGTAGGCCTAAAGCAAGACTGGGAGCTAGGAGTCAAGGAAACATAGTGAGAAAAATGGAAATCAAGTCACTCATAATAATATAAGAAAGGATTGGCAGTAGTGGGAAACTGCCAGGGGAGGGGGGACACACCTCATCAACAAGGGTACTTGCATAGTGAACATTGATGTACTTAACCGTGAATTATACCCTACGTCTTTAAAATTAAAAATTAAAAAAAGAACATAGTATTAAAAAATGCAGGTTAAAAGCAAGAGACAGAAAGAGAGAGAGAGAGAAATCAAGCCACAATCTGCCAAAGAGCCAACTCAGAAATTCCCCCTCAAAGGGCAGAGAGAACTAGTTAACATAACTTCCCATCCTCATATCTGGAGCAGATCAGAGAGCCTGGACTAAGAAGATGAGGAAATAAATCACCCAGTAACCTTGTATCGGCATGTACCTTCTCCTCCTGAAAGGGCTGGATTTAGTTATAATCTCCGGTCTCTTCCAAAGATATGTGAACTTAGCAACTCAGGTACTTGTAGAAAGGTTCTCAGGCTTAAGACTAGGGTGCAAATTTCAGACCAGTGGAGGGAGGTGGGTGAGAGAACTGAGCTCATGGCCTCCGGTGGAAAAACACAGACTGTGCAGGAAATAATCCAATAATAACAAGTCCAGCAATTTCCTGACTTAAAATAAGTACTAAAATAAGTACTCACATGAGTAAGACTTGAAAATCTCTTTTTCCAAAAAGCTTCTCTAACGTGTATCATAAGAATGTGATCCCATGTGTGTACTTAGCTCCTCATTCAGGAACCTACAAGATTCAATAAATCAGAACTGGAGATAAGAATTAACTGGACCCCGATGCTGGTATTTTGTACATATTATCTCACTTAATCCTCTAACAATTCTTCAAAGCCTTATTTTCCCAAATGGGTCATACATATTTCAAGATGATTCTGGGGTTACCTGGTAAAATCCTAATAAGTTTTAATGGCTATGTATTCCCTTTCACACATATTTAAAATACAAGTAGAACATGATACCTGTTATCACTGATATTATTCTCTAATATGAAACTATTTTTTAAAGAAAATGAGTAAAAGAAAAATTTTAAGTCCATAACAGAACAGGCAGACACAGTTGTGGCAAATGTCATGACTCAAGGCATGGGAATGGATGATGTTTGGGAACTATTAGTTCACAGGTGTGGTTTTGCCAATGAGTCTCAGTGGAATTAAATCACTTGCCAAGGTCATTCAGCCAGCAGGTGTAGAGTTGGATTTAAACCCAGCCTGTCTAGTGTGTGGTCTTCCTCCTCCTCACCTCTGCTGCTTCTTTCGTCACAGTCCCTAAAACTGTGAATAAATAAATAAATAAAACCATGGTAGATTAGTAATCAGAAATGGTCTTGTTAGATTAGTGGTTCTCAACTGGGGGTGATTTTGCTCACCCTTCCCCCCTCCCAGGGGACATTTAACAATGCTTAGAGACAACCTTGGGAGGTGCTACTCACACCTAGTGGGTAGACACCAGAGATACTCCTAAACATACCACAATGCACAGGACAGCCCCCCATAAAGAACATGATCCAGTCAAAATGCCAGTGGTGTCAAGGTTGAGAAATCTTGTGTTCAGCTGTAAAACTGAAACGGAATAATGTCTATTCTGGATTAAGTAAAAAATGCAAGTGGAAAAAGAAGTTGCACAAAATTAAACTTATTTTTCATTTTTTAAAAAAAGAATCTAAATTGCAAACACTCATAGGAAGAATCTGAAGCCTATGTAACAAATTTATGATTACTTCTGGGAATGGGATGGGCTTATGACAATTTTCATTTCTGCTTTATTCATTTTAATGATGTTTGAGGTTCTTTTTCAGTGAGCCTGTATTATATTTATAATGAGAAAAACAAATATTGGCCAAACAAGACTGCCATGCATGGCCGCGCAGGGAAGCACTCAGAACTCTGAGCTTGAGTGGGGGGAGGGGGTTGTGCAGGATAGTGGCCCCAGTGTCCTTAATGCCTTTAAAATGCCACACAAGGTCCTCACTGATTATTCTGCTCCCAAGGTGATGAAGTTTATGTTTAATTAACGGATTGTCTGTTGTCCTCACTGAGTCCTTAGCATATCCAAAGCAGAGTGTGGAGGGAAAAAAAACTCTGTAGGTCATGGCATGGTTCAGTAAACCCAAGCACACTGTCACTTTCTCAGGTTACAGAAACCCCACTGACGTCAGTTCCTATGGGCTGGACTTGGATTGCGGAGCCACTGGCACTCCAGAGGCCCACTTCTGTTTTGACCCCTGCCAGAATTACACCCTCCTGGATGAACCCTTTCGAAGCACAGAGAACACAGAAGAAATACAGGGTTGTGACCAGGACATGCGCGGCTGGTATCGCTTTGTGGGCAAAGGAGGAGTGAGGATGCCGGAGACCTGTGTCCAGCCGTACCGATGTCAGACAGCTGCTCCCATGTGGCTGAATGGTACCCACCCTGTCCTCGGGGATGGCATTGTCAACCGCACTGCCTGCGCCCACTGGAGTGGCAACTGCTGTCTCTGGAAGTCGGAGGTGCTGGTGAAAGCCTGCCCAGGCGGGTACCACGTGTACCGGCTGGAGGGCACACCTGAGTGTAGTCTGAGATATTGCACAGGTGAGCGGTGGCAACCCGGAGGCAGCAGTGGGGCAGGATGACCAAAGGGCTGAGTAGAGTGAGTAGAGCAGGTCAGGATGGGACAAGAGAGGACACAGAGTAGCCTTGACTCAGCTCCTGCCCAGCGAGGATACAGCCCAAGGGTTGCCAGGCTTTCTCATATCTCAAGTCAAGCCAGATATTCAGATTCAAGGGTGAAATCCCTCGGTGCATGTAGTATAATAGTAAAAACTCAAGCTCATTCAGATTTCTGTTCCATGTGGGCAGTTTAACTTACCTCTCTGCACCTCAGTTTTTTTATTTGGAAAACAAATGGTTGATGACAAAAATACCAACTAGCACATAGCATTCATAAGGCCCCCGCTGCTATCTGAAGTATTCAGATATACTAACTCATTTGACTCTCTCCCCACCTCCATGAAAAGGGTGCTATCTAATTGCCCCAATGAGGGGTGCAGAGAGGTTAAAAAGCCTTCCCAGTATCAGAGATCTGGAGTATGGTAAAGCTGGGCTTTGAACCCAGAACTCTAGCCCAGGTATCCCTGCATTGTCTGGAATTGTCGCTGTGAGAACTGAATGAACTAACACATGCAAAGTACTTCAAACAGTGCCTGGCCTGTAGTAATTGTTCAGATGGTAGCTTCAGGGCCTCTGCCCCTCTCATTCCAGGTTCCTGTACCTCCCAACTTTGCACTTCTACAAACACACCATCCCCTCCCTCCCATCCCCACTGGATCGGGAGTCAGGAGATCTGAGGCTTGATCCTTCCACTAAACATGTCACAACCTTGGCAAGTCTCCTGTGCCCTGGTAGAATGAGAGAGGTGGACTTGGGGCCGCAGGTCCACCCTGCTCTGCCTCCTGATCCTCTTCCCCCATGTCCCATTCCCTAGACCCCTACACTGTGGAGAATAAGTGTGAGAAGACCTGCCGCCCTGAGGAGGAGTGCCTGCCTCTCAATGGCACCTGGGACTGTTTCTGCAGACAGAGCCTCAACGGCTCCGGTGAGTGGTGCGCTGGTCCAGTGGCTGCTGGTCTGTGTGCACAGGGCAGGAGGGTGGGACCTTCAGAGAGACAGGACAAGGTATGGCCCAGAGTCAGGGGCATGGACTTGAGGTCAGGGAAATGTGGGTTCTCTGGTCCACAAGCTATGAAGCCAGTGAGTTTGCAAGGATGAGAAGACAGGTCAGAGCAATTTCCAGATCAGCTGCTGGGATTCAGGAAGTGGTTCTGGCATGAACAGGTTGACCTATGAGGGACAAAGGAACTGATGACAAGAACCCTGCAAGTGTGGGAGCTGCACTCAGATAGTTAGAATCTTCATGTCAGAGACATGGACAGACTCCTGGAGACAAGTCACATCTAAGCCTGAATATCCTCATCTGTAAGGATAAGATAATAAGAAAATACCCACCCTACAGGGCTATTGTGAGAATTAAATCAGAGCAGCCCAAATGGGTAGGCTGGAGAGATGAAGAGTTTCTTGTCCCAGGAGGTAAGCAAGCATAGTCAGGTAGGGATGCCGTAGACTAGTACTGAGCCCTGGACAGGGGCTGGGTGAGCCTCTCACTGAGATTAGTTCTTGATATCATTGAACCCTGATGAGAGAACCATTGACTCTTGCCTTTGGTATGGGCATGCCTTGCTCTGAACACACTCCCAGTCCCTGTGGAAGAAAGAGTGCTCTAGGCAGAGGGACAAAAAAGAGCATGACACGTTTGAAAACAGTGCTGCAGTGTGGATGAGGTGGTGCTTGGGTGTGCCTGGCAGGATGAGGCATAAGGAACAGCCCTGCTGTCCTTGAAGACTCTGCTGATTGGGTGGATGAAGCCCCACAGGCTGGTCTCGTTTTCTGGGGTTTGGGCCCATCACAGAGTCAAACGTTGGCCTTTGAGGGTGCCCTCCCTGTACCTGGATGGGCTCCAAGGGCACTCTCGGCTGGCTGGGTGATCAGGTGGCCTGCCTCCCATCTCTGTCAGTGGCCAGTAGAACAGTGGCTGTCCCGCGGACCCCCACTGCTTGCAGACACAAGCCCTCCATATCAACTTCCGTCGCTTCTTCATCTCCACCTCTGCCCTTCTCATTCTAGGTTCCTGAACCTCCCAACTTTGCATATCTATAAACACACTATCCCCTCCCATCTCCACACGTTTGCCTCTGCTATTCCCTTAGCCTTGGACTTGCTTTATTCACTTGCAAAACTTCTACCTCCTGAGAATCCTTCCCTGACTTAACCAACAGACTTCGATATACCTTATGGCTTACCCCCGCCCACCCCCACACCTGGGGACTTCTGCCAGTACCTTCATCATAAGCGGTTGGTACATTGGTGTTTATACAAGGTCAAGGAATCCCCATGGACCAAGTTCATGTCTTACTTATTTTTGTGTTGGATGCTCCTAGCACTTGGAGAAAGTGGTTGGTAAATGTTTGTTGAATCAATGCATTCAAGAATACAATAGAAATTGTATTTCTATTAGCTTACTTTGTGTCTCCCTTATTAGAATGTTAGCTCTACAAGGGTGAGAATTGTGTCAGTTTTGAAAGTATTGTGTCCCCTGGCAGATAGTAGATGCTCAAGAAGTATTTGTTGAATAAATGTTGAACAAATGAATAAATACAAAGGCTCTGAACCTGGTCAAATATGCTGAAACACAGGACCCAAAGATCCCAATCCCCAAGGGGGACCAAGATAGGAAAACCTTAGCCAGGCCTGCACATAAGATGCTTGGAAATCTTAGACCATAGGACCCTTTGCCCCTTTGCCAACCTCTCCTACCCCCAGCATGGTAGTAAATTCCCCCTGGGTCCCAGTCTTCTTCGAGTCTATCGAACCTTCTGGTGGGCATGGAGGCTTTGCCAAGGGTCAGGGAATGTGGGCTGTGCCCACTGCCTCCAGACCTCTGTCCACTCTATCTACCTTCCCTTGGCTTTCCAGATGTCCACAATTTGCAGCCTCAGCTAGACTGTGGGCCCAAAGAGATCAAGGTAAATCTGGACAAGTGTTTGCTGGAAGGCCTGGGCTTTGGGGAAGAGGTCATTGGCTATCTGCAGGACCGAAACTGCAATGGCTTCTTGAAAAGAGAGGAGGGGAACTGGATGTCTATGAACAGCCCTGTTCAGGCTAGTGCCTGTGGGAACATTCTAGAGGTAAGTGGCTGCCAGAGGGTGGGAGTCAGGCTGATGGGACCCATTTTAGCTGCTGTGAGATCTTGAACAAGTCACTTAGCTTCTCTGGACCTCCAGAGTCATGTGAAATTACACATGTTTGTCCACGTGGCACTTAGAACAAGTCTGACACTTGAGTTTAATCAATGTAAACTATAATTATGATTGTTTTAATGAGGGTTGATGTGGGAGGGATACACAGAGGAGCCAGCATGTTGGTTTCTGACTCTTCCCAAAAGTCGATAATTTGTTGTTCTAGTTTTTGGTCTGGGGTCCTCATTCCCCTTCCCATCATGTGTCAGCACCACCAAAGAAAGAGGTCCTTTTGCTTTCTTGGGATCAGAAGACAGAGTAGCTACATGGTTGAGCACATTGACTCTGGGATAAGACTGGTCTGAATCCAAGAAACACCTACACACATGGACACATAAACCTACCTGTGGCTTTGTTTTTACACCAAAGAGAAATCAAACCCACGCCATCTACAAAAACACCCTCTCGTTGGTCAATGAGCTAATCATCAGAGACATGATCTTCACCATTAACTTCCAATGTGCTTACCCGCTGGACATGAAAGTCAGCCTCCAAACTGCCCTGCAGCCCATTGTAAGGTATGGCACTGAACCTTGCCCTTTGACTCCTAATTTTAACACACTTCACTTCAAGTGCTGCTTATTACGTCCATGTCACACTATCTACTTCCTCTGAGAGTCTCCATCCATTTAATCATTCATGCCACAAATCGTTACTGATTGTGTGAAGGACATTCAGCATGAACAAGGTAGACAGACTATTTTGAGGATATTAAAGTTTGTTATTATGCGGTACAGCAACACACAACAGTGCTTATTAAATGTGCTAGGGAGCAAAAACACAGGACAAGTTCATTTACCTTGAGGAAGAAAGGAATTAACTAATTAAATTAATGATTATTTACGAGCAAAGTGCATGCCATGCAGGAGAAATATGGGGTGCTCTGGGAGCAGGGAACAGAGGTCCCAGATCCTCCTGCTGCCGGAGGGTGGGAGTCAGGCTGATGGAACCTATTTTGGTGGGGTGAGTTCAGTGGGAGCAGGAAGGCTTTCTAGACTTGCCAGGGGAACTTTTTGAGGGGTCAGAAATCCAGAGTGCTCTTCTCATCCCTTATTGTCTCCTGGGCTCACAGAGTGGCAGGCTCAGAAAGATTAGATCTTTTTTAGTTCAATGGTTTTCAAACTGTATGGTATTGGAGCCCCTGGCTCATAAAAAATCAAAATGAAAGCCGTCTATCTTGGTAAAATTGGTGTTTTGCTGAGGATTGTGAGGTGGAGGAAAAAGATCTGCTGCTAAAATTGTGAACCCACAGAACTGGTCCCAAGCCCCAGTCTCCAGGTGAGAAGATGGAAGTGCACACTAACAGATATTCCTTGAGTAAGAGAGATATGTGTGACCTGTCCTACAGGGAAGACTGGTGGAATCCTGGAGACAGACTTGTCTATTCATCAAGTTTAGTGTTTAGAAGCTAGTAAATGCTAAGTTTAAATGAATGATTGAAAAATCCACTTAGGGATCAAAGATGTGTCTTTGCCTTTGTAAGTGCACTATATAAGTGTAGGGCTTGATTTATGTTGTTCTCTCTGGTAAAAACCTGATATTTTCACTCTTGTGGCTTTCATTGTCTCAGTTCCCTGAATGTCAGTGTGGGTGGGGACGGAGAGTTCACTGTCAGGATGGCCCTCTTCCAAGACCAGAACTACACGAATCCTTATGAAGGCGCAGCGGCTGTGCTGTCAGTTGAATCCATGCTCTATGTGGGTGCCATCTTGGAGAGAGGGGACACCTCCCGGTTTAACCTGTTGTTGAGGAACTGCTATGCCACTCCCACTGAAGACAAGGCTGACCCTGTGAAGTATTTCATCATCAGAAACAGGTAATGGGTGGCTTTGGAATTATCTTTTGACCTTAATAAGGTTTAGGGGAAAATGTTCATCTCATCCATGCCTGGCACTTATGTAACTTATATTACGTATCATAACCCTACTCTTTAACCCAGAAATATCACCCTTGAGATTTTAAGCCTAAAATATTAATAAATAAAAAATAAGTGGGCAAGGTAAAGAAAAGTCAATTATTTTCCATTTCAATATTCTTGATAAATTTGGCAACAGGTTCATTGTTCAAAAATAGGGTATCAATTAAATAGTGATGGACTATTATATAAATGTTAAACTGATCAATATGAAAACAATATGACAAATGTTATAAGATGAAATATTATTGAATACTATTAATTGACAAAAACATAGAAAAATGCATACCTATAGATCATGATTAAAATTATAGCAATAGTATTAACTAATATCTATCATTGACCTAAGCCATGTGCCAAGCAAAATATGTAGATTATCATATTAAATGCTCACATCAGCCCTATGAGGTGGATATTACTGTCTCCACTTTACAGATAAGAAAATTGAGGTTCACAAGGGTAAGTAACCTGCCTATAATCACTTAGCTAGAAAGTGGATCAGGTTGGAATTTAAAACCAGTCTGTTTTATTCCAGAAACAGTTCCCCAAATAATTTAAAGCATGTTGGCTTATGAACAATATTATGAAAAAAATCATAGAGAAATAGGAAAAGTCCATGTCGTCATGATGGAGGGAAACTGGGGTGGGGGGCTGGCTCTTTAATTTTCTCCACTGCTGTTTTCAGAAATTACACTCTTGTCCCTGTCACCCTGCCAGCTGCCCGAATCATCTTGATTCCACCATCCACGTGGAGGAGAATGGGAGGTCCTCAGAGAGCCGGTTCTCAGTTCAGATGTTCATGTTTGCTGGACATTATGACCTAGTTTTCCTGCATTGTGAAGTTCATCTCTGTGATTCCCTTAATGAACAGTGCCAGCCTGTGAGTGTCTCTTTGGGCTGAGTTCTTCAGAGCCTGGCATGGAGACTGGCACCTGATAGGCCCTCCATGTATATTTACTGAAATTATGAATGAAAGGAGGATGGCAGGGAGAGAGGGAGAAAGAGAGGGAGGGAGGGAAAGCCTGAAGGAAAGAGAAAGGGAGGGAGAGAGGAAGGATAAAGAGATGGAAAGAGATGTGTAGGTAAATGAATCTGAAGGAGGGAAGAATGAAGGATAAATAGATGAACTTAGCCTCCTAAAAGCCCCCTTTGTAAGGAATTATTGCGTGCCCAGGAGGCAGATATGATAAAGAAAACTGTCATCTAGGTTCCCTTGGGCACAAGTCATGTTTTAAATGATTATAATCATAGTAGATTTTTTTCAGTGCTTTCTCACTGTTAAGCACCATTATCTAATTTATACCCTTTAAGCAGATTCTTTCATCACTCCCATTGCAGGGAAACTGAGGCTCAGAGAAATCCCTTGCCCATGGGCCATACACAGCTAGAAAGTATCAGAGCTGGGATGTACCCCAACCGAGAGGTGACTCCAGTGCCCAAGCTTTTTAATGCCATTTAGCACAGCCTATGAATAGTTGGCATTTGCTGAGTACTTACTATGTGCCTGTACTGCAAGCATGCCTCATTTTAATCTTCACAATCAAGTAGGTACTATCTAGTCATCGTAGAGAGACAAATTATACAGCAAAAAGAAAGTAGAGATTGAGATTTAAGCCCAGATTTGTTTTCCTGACAGTGAAATTTTCTAGACTGAGATAACCACAGCATCAGAATTGGGGTCACAGCCTGAGTAGGGTCCAGTTATAGGGTTTGAGCTGTCCACTGCAAGGCAGTCTGCATAGAAATCAGGCATTTACATTTTGATATAATGAGAGTTCTCCATCCCCATAGTCTTGCTCAAGAAGTCAAGTCCGCAGTGAAGTGCTGGCCATTGACCTAGCCCAAGTTCTAGATTTGGGACCCATCACTCGGAGAGGTAAGTGGCCAAGTGCTGACAGTTAACTACAGATGCCTGGGTTTACCCCTCAGAGCTTTCCTGCCTCCTCAGTCTGCCCCCCACTGAGGAATCTATTCTTTGGGGTGCTTTGGGTAATAATAACGACATTGCCTTTTGTGGTTGACTGCATATGAGCTAGAAGCCAGGTTAAGCTCTTGCATCTATCAATTCACTCAATTCTTCCATGACTGTGTCCATTTTACAGATGAGAGACCAAGGCTCAGAGAGATTAAGTGATTCACCCAAGATCTCCCTGCTCATGAGTGGGGGATTGAGCCCATCTCAGTCTGATTCCAAAGCATGTTGTCTTTTTCTTATTCTACCTACTCCCAGGTCCCCATAACTCAGTCCCTTGTGAGAGAAGTCTAAATGCTAACTCCCCCTTAAATGAAAATGTGTTTTCTGGTGAATGTCTTTGTTTCCCCAAAATTCAGTTCGCATATTCTGGAGTGTGATCTAGAGGAAGCTTTCCAACTACTCCTCAAATTTTCATTCATCCTACTCGTGAGTTAGCAGTACTGCCATGGTTCTTATTTCCACAAGAAGGGTGAAGTCACAAAATCCAAAAGAATGGAAACCTTTTTTTTGTAAAGAAATTAAGATGTAGAAATTTTAATAATAGTAATAATAATAATACTTTCTTTGTAGTATTATTAGCACCGTGCCAGACATCTTTCTCTGCATTGTCACTTTGAATGCTCACAACAGCCCAGAGAAGTAAGCACTATTACCACATTTACCCTCCAGACGAGTAAATGGAGGCCTTCTCAGGAAGAAAACTCTGCCCTGAGTTGCCCTTTTACTGAACCCTCAACTTGAAGCCTTTTGTGGTATCATAGGGTAACTGGTGAGGAGGGGGCACTGGGGGAATTAAGAACCTCCGCTTTTGAATCAGACATACCATGCTTCGAATCTCAGCTCTGCTTCTGACTGGCATGGTCAACTTGGCAAGTTCCTTAACATCGCTGAGCTTCAGTCTTCTCATCTGTCAAGCAGTCCTCTGTTAGTAGGACTAAGTTGAAAATACATGCAGTGTGTTTAGAAAGGTGCTGCCACCCCCACAATGTGCATTGTCAGTAGTTGTGATGATCAGGTCCAGGAAGACTTGGAGCAGCTATGGCCACAGCACTGCAGTCACTGAAGCATAACTGAGGAAACCCTCCCCTTCTGTTCTTGTTCACAGGTGCCCAGTCTCTTGGTGTCATGAGTGGAACCCCTAGCACTGCAGGTACATACATTTCTTTTGCCATTTCTGCAACCCTCCCTGCTCTCTCTTCTTCCTCTTCCCAATTCAGTACACATTTATTCCAAACCTTCTATGTGCCAGACCCTATGCTAGAAGCTGTGAGCCCTGAAATGGATCTAACCCAAGGCTGGCCCTTGAGATGCTCACAGAATAGAAGGGGAGATAATCCTTTAACAACAAATTGTGCCTACTGCATGCCAGGCATTATTCTAGGCACTGAACATGTGATGGTGAACAAGACAGACCAGGTGCCTTCCCTCACAGAGCTTATGTTCCAGTATGGGAAACAAACAATAAAAAGTAAACAAAGTAATTTAGAAATACGAGAAGGCAACATGACAGAAAGTTATTGGCATGGGCAATAATGCCTTAAATAAGACAGAAGTTTCTCTCACACATAAAGTCTAGAGGCAAGTCATCCAGGGCTAGCAGGCAGCACTACAAAGTCATCAGAGATGCAGGCTCCTTCTAGCTCACACCTCCATCAATCTTGAGGTGTGACCATCATCCTTATGATCCAAGATGGCAGCCAACCTTTATATCCAGGCAGCAGGATGAAGGGAGACATGAATATTAAGAGATATTCCTGAAAAATGACATTTTTTTTTAATTTTAGAGTTGTGGGGTACATGTGAGGATTTGTTACATAAGTAAACACATGCAGGTGAGGTTTGGGCTTCTAGTAAGCCCTCTCTCCCCTGGTAGTGAACATGGCATACAATGAGTGGTTGTGTGCCCCTTATTCCATCCCCAAACTGGCACTTTATACCTACTTATGTCTCATTGATCAGTGCTTAGACACATCACCATACCTGGCTGCAAAGGAAGCTGGGAAATGTAATCTTTAAAAAAATTTTAATTTGACAAATAATAATTATACATTTTGTCATGGGGTACATAGTTATATTTCCACATAATATATGGTGATCTGATCAGGGCAATTAGCATATCTATCATCTCAGACATTTATTATGGGAAATGTATTCTTTGTTCTGGGTGGTCACGTGTCTAACCAATGTTTGATGGTTTTATTATAATCAAGGTAGGAGGGAATAATGAATATCAGAATGAACAAGTGATCAGAAAAGCTTTCAGAGAGAATAATGTTTGAGCCAAATGAGAGAAAAGAGATATGCAAATGTTAGGAGAATGAGCCTTTTAGCCACAGGGAAGAACAACAATTCATTGCACAAATGAGACAGCCACATAAGCAAATAATTGACAAACAAATAGATATACAGAAAGAGTCCATAGAAGACTGATTAACTGTTCTGGATAAGATCTGAAAATAATTTCCTCAGATAGTATCATCTGAATGGAGTTTTGAATTATTTAGAGTTCCAATATATATATAATATCTGAACATATTTACTGGGTACTAGAAATAAATTTTGGACCAAATAAAAAGCACATGCTATTAAGATTTTGTTACTCCCCTAAATGACCTATACTGGTGAACCCAGACATGAAAAAGTTATTTTTCATCCTCAAATTTCCAACAAGACAGATCAGGTGCCTTCCCTCACAGAGCTTATGTTCCAGTGTGAGAAAGAGACAATAAAAAGTAAACAAGATAATTTAGAAATACAAGAAGGTAATATGATATAAAGTTACTGGCATGGACAATATTCCTTAAACAAGACAGAACTTTGTTTCTCTCACACAGAAAGTCTAGAGACAAACCATCCAGGGCTAGCAGGGTGGCGCTACAAAGTCATCAGAGATGCAGGCTCTTCCAGCTAGATAGCAGTCTAAAATTTCCTAAATAAGTCCAAGATGGCCTCTTTATACTCAGTACTAACATCCAGACAATGCTAAGAAAAGCAATACTCCTTGGAGAGTGGTTCAAACTCAGACTAAAAGTACCTTGAAGTCTGGGACTTCAAGTCTCATTCTTTTCTGCCGGACCTTCAGGTCACCCCAGTGTCTGGAACAGTATGGCTCCCCGTAGAGTTTGCTGAATTGACTAATTTCTAGGGTGGGCAGTCAATGTTGGTACTTTCTGGAGGCAGAGAGGATGAATCTGACTGAGGTAGCAGATCACCACAAGAGGGCACTTGTGGCTCTCATTGTTTGCTATCTCATAATCATTTTTGATGTTTTAGAATTAACTGAACATCAACCTATGTGTCATAATTATAAACTGGTTGTCATATACTTAATGTTTCTGAAATGATGATATTTCTCTCCCTACTTTTAGGACATCAGCAAGTTACTTTGAAATTTAAGTCATGGGTAGATGTTTGCACATTCTTCTTCTAGGACACCAACACAAGGCAACTATCACCCAGCATCTGTACCCTTGATTAATACTCAGTATAGAGTGATGTGCCAAAGAGATGTGATCCCAGCTAAACTAGATTTTAGAATCTAATTTTCAAAATCAACACTTATGTGTTGTTTACCATGTGCTGGGCAATGCTTAATATGAATTCACTCATTTAAGATTTACAAAAACCTGTGAGATCACAGGTGCTATTAATATTTGTTTTGCATATAGGGAAACTCAGAGACAGAGAGATTTAGCTGAGACTTCCCAGCTAGCTGTAGAGCTGAGGCAGGCTTCAGAGGCAGTGATTTTTAGCCTTTGTGTCTTTCTGCCTTTTTAGCATTAGTCAGTGTAATTAATACTAGCTGCTGTAATAAATAGTCCCCAGTCTTCTATGCTTTTACACAGCAGAATAATTTCCTGCCAAATCAGTGGTGTGTGGAGGGCGCTGGGGGGGGGTACTGTTCTGTTCTGTTCCATGCAGTCATTAGGACTTCAGGCTCCTACTACCTCCTGGTAACTTCTGGTAACTCCACCACTCCCTGTGAGTTTTACTGTGGATCCTCTGCATCTGGTCCCTAGATGGTGGTAACAAGATCATATAGGAGGTTTTAAGGACCAGGTCTAGAATGGCATAGATAAATTCTACCCATTATCTCATTGATCAGGTTCGGTTACTTGGTCCTACCTATCTGCAAAGGAGGCTGGGAAAAAATGTCTTTCTGTAGTCCCACAGGAAAATGAATAGAGTGGTTGGTGGTAAGATAGTTCTTCTTCTTCCACATGACTCCCAGGGGCTACAACTCAGACCAGTTATTAAAAATACACTGCATTTCTCATCCTTCTGCCACAAAAGACAAGGGGGCTACCTCACATTGCTGCTGAGTTCCAAAGCCCAACATTTGACAATCATCTCTCTTGTATTTCAGGATTCCTGGTGGCCTGGCCCATGCTTCTAATGACTATTTTCATGGCTTGGCTGTTCTGAGAGCTCATCTGGAGACCTGGCCTTGAAGTCCATGTTCTTCCCTCTGGCAGTGTCTCCCCCAAATGACCATTTACCCTTCAGCACTGCTGGTTCCCTCCCCACTTAACACAGACAGTTTTGGTATTCACGGACTCGAGGCCAGGCTAGGTTTAGGGAAAGGAAGAGCTTTCACCTTCTTCAATACTCTCAGTATTTTTGTATTCCTCTTTTTCTCATGGTGGGGTCCCTGTCAGCCTACCCTGGGCTGGCTTTCTCATTTGGGGACCAACTTACTAGGTGTCTCTGTGGCTGCAGGTTTTACTGGAAGAATAGTGCATGCTTGTAACTCCAGGAAGTGGCATCTGTTGTTGAGGGAGGGGGTGAGTATGTATAAGAAGCACTCCTCCATGACTCCTTCCCAAGCACTTCCTGTTCTGACTGCTGATGAATTGAACAGACTGACTCTTGCATTCACTCTGCTTCCTCTCATGTATTGCCATCATGGTCTCAGCAATTGCCATGGGAACATGCAAAGCAGCCACTTTTGGAGGCTTTGCTCCAGGGAAGACTGGTCCCCATCACTACACCCCCCCCCCCCCCCCC